GTAATAATAATAATAATAATAATAATAATAATAATAATAGTAATAATAATAATAATAATAATGGTGATGATGATGATAATTGATAGTAATATTAATAATATTAAAATGTGAAGGAAATTGTGCTAAAGGCGAAAAATAAAGTTGTGATTTGTTGATGATAGTTATAAGCTTATATATTAAATTATAGTTAGGTCAAGTTGTCCTGGATATCAAGTAGATAAAGTACATGAGAAATGCGTTGGCGTTTCATTTTGAGTATGTAATGGTGATGTGATGATGATGAATTTTACTATGTGAAAGTGTGATTTCCGGCCATCTAGAGGTACTATTTCCTCAAATTTTCTCACCTCAGCCCCAACCATGGTGATCCTGGCTACGTTCCTGATGGGGGCATAAATTTGTTTTAGAATGTGATCTGGTTTTTCATGCCCTTTTTTCGTGATTATGACTATTTTAGATAAGATTTTTTTTTTTTGAGGAAAAAAAAGGAAAATATATTCAAATTTAAGTATGAAAGTGTAATTTCCGGCCATCTAGAGGTGCCCTAATCAAAAATTTTCTTACCTCAGCCCCAACCATGGTGGGGCAGAGGTGGGTGGTTCCTCTGTGAAAATCCCTCCCTGGGACACCTTTCTTTCGAATTCATGGATTCTGTTGATTTATTATAATTATTGTTGGGCCTACTAATATTATTTATGATGTGTCTAATACAATTTTCACTTTATCCTCTCAAGACAGTCCTTAAAACGTTCAGAGTGCGCTACTTTACGGGGGGAAGGGGGGTGTTCGTCCCCGCCGGGGTCATACATATCTCGCATAACGGCTCCCCCCCCTTTCAAAATCCTGGCTACGTTGCATAACGGCCCCCCCCCCCCCCCTTTCAAAATCCTGGCTACGTTCCTGATGGGGGTTAGTCCCCTTCACTTTTCATCGGTTTTAACGTAAGAGCACTGTACAGCCGGAGTACTGTGCATCTTGTTTTATAGGAAGATACCGGTATCTCTGCCCACAAACATCTGAATACCTATAATACACGACACAAAATGCGCGTGCCTTTATTACAATTTGAGAAGTATGAGAAAAAGCGTGTAAAGAAAAGATTGGTGTTTGACACATAAAGTAGGTAATGTAAATACATTAAAAAAAAAAACATTTCAAAACATATCTGCGCCCTTGACCACACCCACCCCAACCCCAACGAAACCCAGAGGAAGAAAAGCAATACATGTTTACAACACACTTTGTATTTATTGTCTTAGTGTAAACAGGGCATTTCAGTCGGCAATTACTGAGCCAGGGGTGGTGCCGGTGGAGACCGGGGAAGGGCAGGGCCCCGTTGAGATGGCTTTCAAGTAAATTTTTAATTGACAATTTTATTTTTTTGTAATTTTACTCAGTCTTTTAATTCAGCATATACTGCAACAGACTGTTTTGTATGTGAGCTTCTTTTTTACAATAAAAATATACCCAAATATTTCTCCCTCCCCCGAGAAAATATTTTTGAGTGACGCCCGACCACACCCACTTTGATCTCATCCGAACATCGCCCTCTACCCCCTCAAAAACCCATCTGGCAAATCCTGGCGCCACTCCTGTACCCAACAACAAAAGAGTCACAAATTTACATCAATGATACCAATCTTGATTGAGAAAGCGCCATTAAACGCATTACATATTACCCCATATTTTTTACACATCCTTTTTAAAATCTCACAATGATAACACTTTGCAACAATATATAGATACTTTACCCTAAACTTACAGTTTAAGTTTTACTAGGTATGTAAATGTAGACAAATATAAATAATGTAAATTTAATTCAATATTACACCTATTATTCATATATAGCCTATAATTATGACATGTACATATTATGATCATTACGATTCTATGCAATAAGAAAACGATTTGTTTATAATAAATTGAATATTATACAGTACTTGTCTGGGAAATGTCTACATAAAAAGACTATATTCATTAATTTGCACACAAAAAGAAAGTACTAGCTTTATGTACATACAGCTGTAGTCGCTCAGACTTTAAAAAAAATAGGTTAGCCAAAATATGTCGCATGCTTCACATAAGTATGTACACAATGAACATAATTATATGTTGAAAAATGACAATTATAATTTATCATTCAAATAATTCTAAGCCAAAACCACGGATTCACCTTAAAAAATATAGAGAATACCAATGGAATAAGTTATTTTCAAGGCTGAAGTAGAGTTTACAGTCCTGGAATGTACACCTGTTATCTTTAAAAATCTGACAGCATTAGCAGCTTGTGCAATAACATCAAATAAAATAACTTTGATATCAATTTTATCACACTTTGTTTTATCAGATTTTACCACCCTTAGTGCCGGGGACCAACATTTTTAAATTTTAACAGGCGCTATATAAATTTATAATGTTATTATAATGGTCCACAACTTCTGAATAGTATAGAAATAACTGCTTTATTCTGAAGTGGGATGTAATTCTCTCAATGGCCAAAATACAGCATTATACAGTACCATCACTGTACCTAGAACATGGCCACCAACCATTATATCAAATTTATACAGAATCAAGGTATGTGGGAAGCCAAAGCTATTATTGTTTGATGTATTTATCGTCAGTAGCCAGTAGGTTGCAGCCATAAGCTAAGGTCTTCACTTTTTCCAGAGGGCGGTCTGTGCAACATAGAGGGAAAAACACACAAGTTAAAGAAACATTTGACTTAAACAAAAATTAAAACATAATTAATAAACATAGATGCTACAAATTATCATGACAATGATTATACATTAAATTTCAAAATACATATGACATTTTTGACAATATTCCAAAGAATTACAGAGGAATATATTTTGGTCTTTTATCTTGTGTAAAAAAATCATCATGATAGACACTGATAAGGATTATTAAAATTATGTTCTTCTTAATATATGATGATAATGATGACTATGGTGATGTTAATAAGAATGGGGATGATTATGATATGGAGAAGGTATGAAGAGAGGGAACAGGATTATGTATTTATTACTTAATTGTATTTAAGAAAATATGTAACTTTAAGGGCCCTAGTAAAATAAGAGGCTTGATTTCCCAAAACCAGCGTACTGTCACAATATTTTACACTGAGTATTTAAGCATAAGAATTGGCATTATTGTATACTTTAGTACAAAGAATCTGTAATACTTTTACTCGTAACTTTGGCAATAGTAAGTCAATTCCAGTATGACTCATCATTTTAAAGCTAATAATGTGCAGAATATGAAAATAATAAAGTCAATTTTTTTGTTTTAGTCACTGATGCTGGTTTTGGCACAGCAAGCACCAAATAACAACCTAATGAACAATAAAGTTAATTGACATTCAAATGATGTTGATAATAATGATGATGACGACAATGATGATGATGATAATGATGGTAATGATGAAAAGGATGACAATGATGATGATGACAACGTGATGATGATGATGGTGGTGGTGGTGATTGTGTGCTGTTGCTGATAATAAAAAAAAAAGGAGGTATACCTGTGTCTAGGCCTAGATGTTTTCAACATAAACTTTTGTAATACATCATCTGGGTCTTCATTGGACACACCATCACCTAAAACAAAGCAAGAAGCATCCAGTAAAACCAAATCTGGTTTGGCCCAAGGTAAACACAGTAACAATATGAGATAAATCGTAAGCCAAAAAAAAAAAAGGCTCAGGGTTGTTCAAAATAGTGTTCTTATAGTGTTTTTTGTGCATTTTTGTCTTTGGAATTTACCTAACCAGTGGCCTAACAGGGTCTGGCCTGGGCCCTCCCAATTCATGGGGCTATCTACATATCTGATGTGCAAGTATGCCTATTTATTATCTGTGCTCATACAGCAGTTTAGGCCTAAATAATATAAAGATCTTAGAACCCCTACAATGATGTTAGCATTGATTTGCACCCTCCTTGACGCATTGCACCCCATAGTTTGCTACAGAATTGGGACAAATTTAACTTTAAGGGGTCTCCCACATTCCTCCCATGCCACAGCACCTAATTCTTTGTGACCATTCAGAGCCCAGAAATCATAATGTGTACTTACATTACACAGATTGGAGGCTCTTGCTGCACCTATCTAACTGCAGATATCCGACATAAGTCTACCTCTCCTTTAAAAACCTTGATATTTAGGGTGGTATTTTTTGGAACATCATCTAACTATTCTAGCAAACTTCAGTTTACTGACATAATTTTTAATATTAATATTGTTTTTTACAGAAGAAACTTTCCCAAAATTATTTGTTGATTCCTACTTTCAATAGCTGCTAACGCTGCAATCCTCTCCTTGTTTTTCCTCTCCAAGATATCAAGGGCATCTTCATTAATACTTGCTATATCACCATACAGATCTCTTGTCTGCAAAAAAACATACAGTAATAATAATTTTAGCGGTTATCCATGTTTTTCATCATCTTCAAGAGAATATGAAACATTATTTCTCGCGAAACCCTGCTTTTTCAATGAAAGGCACTAAAAATGATACATGTCCTTTTACAACTATCATTTACCTTCTGCTTCATAAAATTTACCCACTCACAAAAAACACATTCATCCCCGGATAACTTGGTATAGGTAAATAAAGGGTCATTATGCTGAACCGAATATGGGTGTGGTCGGTGAAGGTAAAGGTAGGAGAATAACCCATAACTTGCAGCATCATTGTGCTGAATTGCGTATGGGCGTGGTCTGTGACTACCTAGCAGCCGTAAAGAGGCGCTTCTTGGTAGGTACATGTTCACATCATTCCACAACGACAGGGGCTGAAATGAACAATAACATTAGGGTAACCCCCTACTCTTCCGAAAGATGCAATGGGTTCTTTAAAGTGCACACGAGCCAGATGTATACACTGGACCTCAATTTTAAGTCCTTATCTGAGAAAACTTGGTTCTACCAACCGAACCATGGGCAAGGAGCGGCTGGAACCAGCGCCGATGTTGATGCTGTAGCTAGCGGCGCCCCTGCCTTACCGCATGGCCACTCGACTCGCCCGGTATGTATCATATTTGCCATAAAATGGCACTCCGTAGTCACATCCTTCCATGACAGGCACATAAGTGAACTAGAGAATCGGGATAACCCCTACTTCAAAATGATTCATTGGGTTTTTCCTTTTAAACACACAAGTGCAAGATATGTTCACCAGGCCTCCACTATTTAACCCATTATATGAGAAGACTTGGTTCTGAAACTTCAACAATATTAGGCTATATGTTGCAGCACCCTTGCCTTAACACTTCATCTTCACAAATAAATACTATAGGACTTCATATTACATAATCAAATACATATTTTTATATAAGTTACCTATTTCTTGGTTCTACTAACCAATCTATGGGAAGGGCCTGAACCTGCACCAATATTAAGGCTATACAATATGTTGCAGCACCCTTGCCTTACCCCTTGACCTTCCCAAACCATTTGGACTTCATATTATATAATATGAAGAAGAAATTAAAAAAAAAAAATTTAATTATATAATTAAAACTTATAAAATAAAAACTAGTAGAAGAATCATCTATGTTGCTCGATAATTGTAAATTATATTCTGATTTGCATGGTGCAAAGGTATAGGGCAGGGCAGGTTAACAATTAACAACAGCTTAAATAGGAAAAATAACATTGACCTGAACATTATTTCCTATCACAGTAAACAAAATTGACATTTTTGAACTGAATAAACTGATTGGTTGCTGACAAAACTTACCCTAGCTGATCCTGGCAAAGACCTCTCATCGGCTGGAATTTTGGATTCTCCTGAATCAATTCCAATGAAAGCACTTGAGGACTCCAGCGGAATCAAAGGAGAATCATGTCCCTGGAAAAATAAAAACAGGTTTAGGTGTAAGCAAGCTCAAGTTTAATTTCTTGCAAATTCAAGTTCACTTAACTTGTATCTATCCACCTAGGATTATTCATGGGTACTTGGTAAGATGAGATTGAATTTTGAATGAAATCCACAACTGAAAATACTCCTCAATGAGAATACATAACAAGTAACCTGATTGTGTATACCTGTAAATTTAAGTAATTTCATGACTTTCCCTAAAACAGTAAATATGCATTCTGATATTTTACATTACTTTAATCATTGAAAATCAATTTCAGTAAATAAATTACTGTATCTACTCGAATAAACTCCTGACGCATATATTGTTGAGAAGGATTTTTTTTAAAGGGATATATTTGAGGGAGGAATTTATTTTTTTGGGTGTACAATGGATAAGTATACATTCAAATAAATGCCCCTTAATTTCATTGTAAATGTAGAACAACACATAGTTACCATCAAAATGTGACAACAGCAATTGATCCCAACCAGGTTAGAAAAAATGCAATACTGTACCATTGGAGTAGAACATTAATAGAATGTATTGACTGACAATAATGTTGCTTTTATTAGTTTTGTTTACAGTTATTTGGGGGGGGGGGGTTTATTCAAGGAAAAAATAACGCTCCAGGGCGTTTATTCGAGGCAGGCACTTATGCCAAATGGGGCTCTGAAGAGGGCGTTTATTTGAGAGAGACGTTTATTTAAAGCGGGGCGTTTATTCAAATAAATACGATAAGTGAAGGAAATGAAAACGTGGAAGAAAACATTTAGATACTTATTATGTACTAAAATTTTGTTGCACTGACAAAGCCCATACAATAATATTAAAACGCAGATAGCAGCAACCACATAGAATTGAGAAATGACTGCAAAAATAGGCACATAAATTTTGTATGTTACTATTTCAGTACGATTTTGGGATTCATATTTGGAAAAATTATTCTTTAATATTTCTGTTTTCATAACTTGTAAGAATTTAAGGTTCAATTGGTATACAGGCAGCAAGCTAGAAATAACACAATCCCAAAAAGGATGGTGTTTGCCAGAGAAGGTCACATATACATATATTTTAGTAGACACATAGAGCTACACTATTGCTGTATAACATTTTTCTTGCCTCTTTTTCAGAATCCAATGGCCAATCTGCAGGCTAATATATGAAGTATTTGCAAATTTTGTATACAAAATAGAAAACAAAAAAGAAGATTAAGTAATGAAATTAACTAAAAAATAATAATGTATAAAAATGTATAATAAACTGATAGAGAAATAAAAGACATGAAGTGATAGGGAATAGAGGAAAGTGGGAGCAGCCATGGTTGTTAGCTCTGTTGTGTCCTCAGATAGAAGGTTCTATTATTTTTCATATTGGTTAATAGTTCATTGCACAATGGCCATATCAGTTAGTTTTAATCTGGTAAATATTACAAAAATGGACAGTTAAACATTGTACTGATGTACTAAGTTGTATATTCAAATTGATTTTTAACTAAAAGTTAAGGATCCAGTTATTTAAATACAATATGTATGTGTTGGGTAATTCATGCTCTTCATCTTTTGTTAGTAAATCCAATATAATGAAATAAGATGGAAAATTGAAGAACTATTTTTATAACAGATGATTCTGCTGGTAATTTCGACCATGGCTTAGACATCCCCAGTTAAGCCTGTGTTCCACTAGGTGAATTTATTTGTGTGAATAGAAAGCGTCAGTTCATACACATGTGCAATCACATTGCTATCAGAGATTTTCACCTCAGCGAAATCATCAGTAGTTCAAAATAATTCTACTTTTTGCGAAGCAAAAAAAAAAGCGCAATCAGAGCTCAGGAAGCGAACCGACACTTTCGATTCCTGCGCATAAATTCGCCTAGTGGAAAACAAGCTTTATAGATTAATATCTGATTTAGCTCCTACTTACCCTTCCAATATGATGAAGATCAAGTGAAGCCATATCATACTTAGATGGTTGATAAGCTGTTAAAAAAACAAAGCAGAAAATACCGTACATGTATAAATTGTACACTGAAATTTAAATTTGTTTGATACCTCCATGGTTTGATGAGATTGGTACTGCTTACCAGAAAGAAATCTAAAATGGGTTTTATTTCTTTTATTAGTTTTACTTTTATTAGTAATTTTAAAGGTTTTAATAAATTTTAGTGTTTGTTTTACTTTTTAACCAACTTTTATGTAATATTTTTTATTTAAGGGACCCCAACGGAAATAAACCAATTCAGGTTTTTTGGGTTATCCTGAGCTGTAAGTGTTTTACTAAATTATCTTTTTATTGTTCATTGTTTTGTTATATGGAATGTTTTGAATTATGCTTAAATAAATTTGAATTGAATTGAATTGAAAATTCTGATATTCATAACTAGATTTTCCAGGGTGGCAATCAAACTCAGCATTGTGTTTTGGTATGTTTGTACAGGAAGTTGTTACAGTGTAACAACTCCCTTGATGCTATGTTATGTTATGCTATGTTATTGTCAGACTTAAGCAACAATATCAAAAGGGCAGAAAGGTTGATTCTTTAACATGCACAAGGACCTTGATGCACTACCCTAATTAGGCAAGACTTTTCTTATACCTTGTTTCGCGAACCTGCTGTCCTCCAATATTGAAAATTTTGAATAAAAAAAAAAAATTATTATTTTTGGTCAATTGACGTACCCATCGCCACGAAAAAACTGGAAATTTCAGAAAAAAATGAAAGTTTTTCTTTATTTTTATTACGCCTGCCGTTGCCTTGAAATCTCCAAGTATAGGATATGTACATTTCTTCCTATTACATAAATTTAAAGCATTTAACTATCCCATTTACTACACTGTCTACATTCAACAATATCATTTAATTTTTTATTATATTCTCTGTCAGAATGTTTTCGGCAAAACTAAAAAACAAAATTTTATTTTGATTTTTTTTTTGGCTGCCTCTGACAATCTTTAAAAAAAGTAAAGAAGCAAAAAAAAAAAGTTTTGCCTTTAGGATTTAAACTTCCAGCAATAACACTCTTTATTTTAAAAACTGCTATGGAAACAAAATCAGGAATCCCACAACACAACTAGTAACAAAATGTTCATGTTTCAACTAAAAAGCAGCAACATTAAACCAGAATGTCACACTGATTCTAAAAGTGTAGGAAATCTTACCTTTTCTCATAGAGTCTAGTTTTTCTTGTTGTTGTTTCAACAGTGCCCTCTGTTGAGCCTCAAGTGCAATGTCTGTAGTTGGTTCATTTGGATATTGTTCTCTGACCTTTTGTCTCGAATGGGACCCTAGGATAAGAAACAAATTCATGATGAGACACTAAATACACAGTGAGAGCAACTACCATAATTACTTTTGTCTATTATAAATCATGGAGGAGAGCAGCCATCTATGTGAATAATACCCATATAAATTGTCAGTATCTAAATTATGACAACAGCATTAAAAGTGAGTACCATTTTCCAAATTTTACAGTCCACTAAATTATTCAATAACATGTTTTATGGGGACAGTGGTGTATCTAGAAGTCTTGAAATTTGGGTGCTGATGGGGGGGGCGCAAAGGTTAAGTGGGGGCTCGAGGATCAGTTGAGGGGTGCTAATTCGCAAAATAAGGTGATTTTTAACTAACTGACCATAATTTTTAGGAGGGGGAATAGGGAGAGGGGCACGAGTAATTTTTATGGGGGCATGCACCCCCGCGCATCCCTCTAGATATGCCACTGTATGGGAATCTTTTCTTGTTTCATGTTAATTCAGCATATAACAGGTGATCACAAGATCAACAGGTATAACAAAAAAAATTATGTAACTAAAACGCAGAAAACATTAAATGACTAGTCTTCGGGATTTACTCATGAATCTACCTACTGTACAATAAACAGAAAATGCAGAAATTACAAAACATGGAATATTTATTAATAACTATATATGTTTACAATCTATGAACAGTCAATGCATGGTTTTCACACTGCACTGGTTGCACATACTGTACAGTATTGTAAGTCACAAGATGTAACATGTGGCTACATACATCCCAACTAATCAACAGTGAAAGCCTTCAGGATGTTTACATCAACACTTAAGAGAGCAAATTTAGCATCAAACATTTTTCAAATATGAACAATGTATTCAGACATTTACCAGAAATTATTATAAAATTAAAATAAAATAGAAAAAATAAACGAATTCTAACCTCTATCCTTGAGACTGTTGAAATCATAAGCAGCTGCCTGGTTTGTTAACTCGCGCCGTACAGTCACTGGCTTCATTTTCTTCTTCTCAAGGTCAAGAACATTGACCTGAGGACTTGTACGACGGCTAGTATGAGTACTGGGAACATGTGTGTAAGGATCATACTAGAAAAAAAAACAATAATAGACATAGACATGTCATGTTAAAAACATATTTATACCCCGCTGAAAAATGAACGGTTCTAAGTCGCCCACAATGCATGCACGTGGCTGCAAATAAGTACTGTACTTGAGATTCGGTTCCCCGAGATATCGTTCTCGTTCGTAAATCCCTAGTTATAATTAATTCATAAAATATCGTAAAACAGATTTGTTGTTAACATCACAAGTTAAATTTTAAGTCAACAAAATACATTAGGCCTAGATCTATACATCTCGGAAGACCTAGAGTAGAATTTACACTGGACCAGCTAGGCGAGAGATGAAGATGCAAATGCAAAGCCTAGAAAAATAAATGTGAGTAAACAACCATAGCCGTGGACAGTCTATGTCTATAATTGAAATATTTTCCTGATAGCTAATTCAACACTATTCCTTTGAAGACAAAATTCCAACATTTAAACACCTTTAAATGCACTCTAAAGGTCACAATTTTCTATTATTTTCTTATGTAGGGAGAGGACACCCTCTCTCAAACCCACCCCCACTCGGCTGTTTTTCGCCTTCCATTTTGGACCGCCTATTTTATTTTTCTGGCTAAACCCCTGGTGTTGGGATTGTTAAATATTTATATGTACAGTAATGCCATTCCCTACAATCACAAAAGACAAATACAGTTGAAACATAAATAATGCATGTACTGTACATTTGGCTTGTAGATGGTGGTTGACCATGCAACAAGTTTTTTAATCATTTTATCTTGAAATTTAAAATTACCACTACTGATAAAATATATTTATTTCCAAATAGCATACCTCTCTTTCAAGGGCCTGTTGGACTCGCCTCTGTTCACTCTGTAGCTGTTTACGCATTGTTGAAAGAGCGCTCATGACATCACGTTCATTCTCTCCAGCACGTTCTTTGGTTGACACCGCTGGTACTGGAGGAGATGTTCGGCCATTCTAAGAAATTAGATAATTGAAATTAGATGCATAAAAACAGTATATCTTTTAATAAAGATTTGATTTCACTGAAGAACAATCAACATTATTTACTGATATAATTTACATCAACATTCAACAATAACTGACAGTCAGTTGGAAGACTGAGTCTTATAATATCAACACTAATCAACCAACTCAAAACCCTCACATTCATTAAAAAAAAATCACCTGTCATTAACAAAAAACATAGCTTACTATCACCCATTTCAACGCTCAGTATCACCATGAACAATATCAGCAATAATAACATCATGCAATACTCACACGCAACACCAAAACCATCAGCAACATTTACAATCATGAAAAAGCAACAAGTAAATACCGTATTTATTCTAATAAACGCCCAGGAGGGGTTATTGTTCAGAAGGGTTTTTGAGGGGGCATTTATTTGAGGGAGACTTTTATTCAATGGAGATGTGTATTTTTTTGGTGTCAAATGGATATACTCAAATATTACCTTTGTAAATTTTTAATATATTTTATTTTTTTACTGTCTATATGCCTACTTTTTAACTTTAATTACTTTTTACTTTACATTACTTCGTAACTGGACCATTCTGAAAATTAGTACTACACTACTGAAAATGCAATCCAGTCAAAAAAAAGAATAAATAAATAATCAAATAAATAAACACCTCTTAATTTCACTGTAAATGTGGAACTACAACACACAATTACCGTCAAATGTGTTATTGCGATCATAAACAATTATTGATCCCAACCAGGTTTGTAAAAAATGTAATTCTACTGGAGTAGAACATTATTAATAGACTGTGTTGAGAATGATGTTGCTCTATTAGAATTGTTTACAGTTATTTGTGGGGGGGGGTCTATATTTGAGGATGGCGTTTATTCCAAATGAGGCTCTAGAGAGGGCATTTATTCGAGGGGGGAGGAGCGTTTATTTAAAGCAGTGTTTATTAAAATAAATAGGGTATATGCCTAAATACAAAGCTGCAAACTACTGTACCAAAATAGCACTCACTAATAACAGTAATAAGATTCTATTTTACACATTGAAGAAACAAATTAGAAAACTAATGCTGAAAGAAAAATAAGTTAAGATATGATCACTGTTATCATCCAATATTTCTTCTACATGTGCAGAGTACATGACTTACTGTAGTAATTTTCAATATCTCCATTGGACATGATAGGCATACATTACCCAAAGTAGAATAATTAGGAAAATCCTTTACATTAAAATGATACACGTTCAATTACAATAAAGAGCTCATTTTATATATATATATATATATAAAATGGTGGTGCTATATATATATATAACAAGTCAAATGGTACCAGATATTTGTAACAAAATAACAATTTTCAAGTAAATTTTGTAGCACCTAGATGATAACATTTGACTTGTTATTTACTATATTATTATATATATTGTTCATAAAAATACTTCTACTGTAAGTACAATGTTTGTGTCTAAATTAAATGGTTACAGCTAAACCAACACATTATATTAAGTGTCATAAACTATAAAAATAATATACATATAACAATAACAATAATACTGCAAGTACTACTTCTAACTATTACTTTTGTCTAATTATACTGATTACTAATATAGGAATCTCATTTGAAATGATAACTGTAACATAATATACTAGATATCTTACATAATTATCTGCTATGAGGCTGCTTTGACCAAAAGACATGTCGACAACAACAGCGTCTTCAATTTGTGCATTCTGAAGATGGTAATACACATGTAGTATAAATGTATTAAATAAAAAATGATCAATACAGTAAGCCTTTTGTGAAGCCGACCACTTGAAAGGTACAAAGAAAATATACAAGCAAGCAAACATTTGGGTTAAATATTTACAATGTAACAATATTGATGCCTTTCATTGAGTACACAAAATTTGCAAGGAATTGAATGGAAAGTAACTGATCAAAATATTGGAGCACTGGGTATACGCAGAAAAATTTAGCCTGTAAAATCTCTGTACTAAAGAAGTATTACCTAGTATAAAATATATCTTTGATGATTTATAGATTATGTTTAAGCAGCTCAATAAAAAACTAAGGGCCATCACTACATTCAAATTGCTAGCATTTAATTTTTTAAAATCAAGATATAAAATAACTATGACTGTTAATATATAAAATCCAAAAAATAATAATGCTAATAATGATATGGTCAAGATACTCCCAGTTACACCGCAGTTGGCCAACAACAACAGAAGTCTGCAATGGTACAGAGTGGAAAATCCTTTATATTTATATATTCATTTATCTATTCAACACCAAGAAGACAACTGTGTTTTGAGTGATAGTTCAGTGTTATGTACATTTTTATATTTCAGTGAGTGTCACTACTACAGTACTTGTAGATAGATAAGTTCAAAATTCACCTGATTTACTTTTTTGAATAAAAATCTAAAGACCTACCAGTATTCATTTTAGGAATGTTATTAAATTGACTTTGTTTCCTTACCCTGCACCCTTGAAAAATGTTTCTGTTTCTATTATATGAAACATTATAGTGTTGTACGATATCTGTTTATTATAATAACTAGCAACAATGTCAATTAGTTAATAAGAGCGGCGGTACCGCGGGTTATAACCTTCGATGTACGGTTCGAGATGTTTCCATTTAATTCATAACTGTTCCTAGCCTCTCCATGATCAGCTGGATCTCTAGGATATAAGGACTAATTTTATGGAGACGGTTCAAATGTGGTGCCTTGGGTTGGATTGTTCTATTTTATTCAAATGGGGGTTTCGTTTAAGAAACAAAGGCAATTGGTTTATCCAGGTAAGTATTCACAAAATGTATTGTACAAGCCCTCAGTTCTATTGCATACAATTTTGATGGTCAGTAAGCAAAAAGATGCACCAAAGCCAATTAAATGGGCAAAAACTGAGCATGATCATATTTTCAAAACTGAAAAGAAATGTCCACCATAATGCTTTACAGGTTTAGGCTGTAGCAAACTTAAAAAAAATAACACTTACAAACACTAAAATACTTGTAATGATTATTACAATAGCACTACTGTTGAAAAACCTTGTTATTATTGTTATACAGAGTATGAACAGTTTATAATGTTATACCTTGCTATCAGCATGGAAGTACATATCCTCCTGTAAATAAAATGAATCCTTAAGAATTTAAGTGTTCTAGCCTTGTCCCGGGTATTTAAATAAACAAAACCAAGAATGCATTACAAATGCAAACAAAATGCACACAGCGTACAAAACATTTACTTGTAAGATACACTGCTGGTTCTAACCAGGTCCATCCAAGGTATGTCAAAGGGGCTAATTCAAAGTTTTATGAAGTATAATTTGATGGTAAGTCATATTCTATAGCATTCTAAATGTTTGAAACAAGGTAGAGCAGATATTAATTATTACTTATTAAAAGTTTGGTATATCAATAAAATTACTTATTCAAATGAATTATGTTAATTTATTGTTTTTAATATATATTCTTGTAATTTAACAACTTACATTTCCAGGCTTGATAGGTCTTTCATCACTGTCTCTTGGGGGCTTAATGTAATTGAAACAGGTTGTATAATACATTAAACATACAGCCTTTGTTTAAAATAGTGTGTTCTAACAGTAGGTATGATGTATTGTAAAGTAAAATGGCATGTGTGCAGAATCTATTTCCTACTTTCATTTCAGATTAAGATTTTGTACTGCAATTCTATATAAACATTATTATCTATACTGTATTATGTTTTATAATAATTTATTAGACATCCCATTCTTTGGCACTGTGAATTTTCAAAATATGGTAATAATGATGAATGGAATTTTTATGGTAATTATACTTGGTAAAACACTTAGCAAAACATTAAGTTATCAATATTACTACTTTGTGATTATTCAAATAACCTTTACTAAAAAATAGAGTAGTACTAATAAAAGTTTTCATTGTGTCTTACACTTACATTTCCAGGTCTAATAGGGCTTACATCCGAGTCCCTTGGAGACTTGCAATAGAAAACATTCAAAATAATTTAAAACTAATATCCAGTAGACTCATCACGTATGCTTTTTTTTTTTTTATCAAAATTCAATGGTATTTCAAATCACAGGCGTGAATCAAAAAGACTGAGTGATGAATTCGTCAGAAACCTACAAAAGTTTGTTTACTATACTTTCAGTCAACTATACTGTTTAAATAATAGATTCAGATTTTATTTGAGCAGTTTTATATCAGTGGCACTTATCACTTTGATGGTACACCCAGAACAACACATAAACACAATTATTTAAAAACTAAATCATAAGAAAATACTAAACTACATATTATAAACACTGAAACTGATTATTGCACTAATAGAACTGAAATAATGCTTACTGTAGATAATAATAATTACAATCCCTGTTTTTACACCAAATTAAATGCAATCTCATACATGCAATACAAACACACACACACACAAATCTACACTTAAGGTAAGTCGTTAAATAATAATAAACGAGTTAACTTTACTTGATTGAAACGTTCTATTAACTGGGGGTTGGGGAAGGTGGGTAATATAACATCAAAAAGACAATCTTGGATGAAATAAAGAAGCATCAATACAAAATACAGATAATTTTACTGAATTTACATAACGAGATTTAACTAAATTCATACTCAATGTACACTAATGCACTCTAACATAACTTACTTCGGATTCTTCTATTGGTGTTTTCTTTTGCTTCTTTGAATGTTTAGAAGGTAATAAAAAAAACAATTAAAAAAAATATATATATATAATAATAATTAAAAGGGGGTATTAGATCTCATACTTGTCTATTACTCAATAATTTTGCACAGCTCGTCAGGTATTTCAAGCATAATTATATAAGTTACTTGTTTTACTACGTATTTCTATTACAAATAAATATAAATTATATAATTTGCATTAGATAGATAACTATCCATTGAACATTTCAATGTAATGATGCACAATGAAAAATATTACAAGTATTTTTCACTATGTAACTACTAAAAGTCAACACATTTAATAACATTAACATTGTTTAGTACAATGTACTCACTTTCTTAGTATTTCTTGGTACTAACGCCCGAGACTTGTAATGAATTGTGTAGGGCAAATAAAAACAAAATCAAAGCTTAACCTAAAGACATATTTAGTTGCAACTTTTTAAAGTACAGTCATTAGTTTAAACAATTTCACCTTGTTTCAATGATATACTGTAGGTAAGCAGGTTTACTCACACAAATTGTCCTACTCATATTAGTTTCATGTATATAGTATGACATATATTTTGTATTCCAATGTATATATTGTATGATTTAGTTGAACACTATAATGATGGAGTCAAAAATGAAATATCAACCTTTACTATGTTATATTCAAATTACATCCCAAAAGCAATCACAATTATATATTATTTGTAAATTTTTAAAAGCCAATAACACATGCTCCCTATTTCACTCACTTTCTTTCCTTTTCTTGGAGTTTTGTCTTCCGGTACCTTTACAGATTAAAATTATTAATGAATAGATGATCAAATTAATTAAATATAATATAAAAATTAATCACAGGATTTAGTTTAGTGAGTTAGAAACCAGAATGTTGAGAGAATAGGAACATCCCATTAAATGCAAATTCATCACTATTCAAAATATTATGATTGTAGCGGCGAAGACAAAGACTATGACTTCAATGCATTAGAAAACATGACTGAATTTAATTTTTGATATTGAACTGTACTAATAATGTTATAAGGTCAAATCAATAAACAAAATGAAATGAACATCAATTGATTTTTGCAAATGATTAAAGACATTGACACAGGTAGGTTGTTAAAATGTTGATTACCAGCCACTGCAATGAATATGAAAATGGTACTATTTATGCATCAGTTAATAGGGAAAAATAGTTTCACTATAAATGAAGTAATTTAAATTGAATTACATGTTTCAGGTTTATATTACTCAACATATACATTGCATAATACACTAAATTTAATCATATTATTATGATTAATTTTTAACATTAGTACGAATATGTGATCAAAATTTTCCAAAATGGTATTGTAGTGTTGGTAAAATGTTCCAATAAAGGTGAGAATTTCTTGCGTATAATGAAGCTCCATGGTTACACACATGAAGTTGGTTTACAAACAACGATGAAAGCGACAACAATTGTGAGGTCAAACTATAATAATGAATTTTGTTTGTTTTGTTAGTATCAGGTTTCCACAATGGTTAATACACTCTCATGAAGCATTCTATTACAATAATGAGTACTGTATAAATTTAATTGCAGACAAAACTCAAAACAAGCTAGCTGCAATAACAATTATTAGGACCGATTTACACTAAGAAAAAAAATGTCAAAATAAAAATGGCAATATCAACAGTGTCTCTCTGAGCAGACAAAAATTGCTCCAGAATAAAAAAAAAAAGCCCTGGAAAAATGGCTATAGTGAAAATGGGCCCAAATTGACTTCATTGCAGTAAAAATTTCCATGTTGATGGTTTACTTTACATAATATCTTCAAAAACAGGACTTGAATTCACAGATCAATGATGAATTTTAAAACACCGAACAAAATCACCATTCAATAACAATTCATTGATACACTTTCTGACTTGAAGACAAAGGTTAATTGTTAGAACATGAAAGCATTAGTGTGACAATTAAAACCTGAAGCAGACACCTTACAAAACTTACACCGACATGTTCTATAGGTGATACCAATTCAAATGGCTAGAAATTCAAACAAGAATAGAGTATGAAAAATAATACATACTCCAAGAGAGAAATACATGCCATCATGCTGGGATTCAATATTTCAACTCTTATTGGGTCATCTGATCATCAGGAATAGAGAATACAGTATATACAAAACAAATTTACTAAAAATGAAAGACATATTGCCATCCCAAAACCAGCCTAGTTGATTCCAGTAAATGACCCATCATTTTAAAGCTTATAATGTGATGAATATGAATATATTCATAAAAAGTCAATTTTCTTGTCTTGATGCTGGATTTGGCATAGCAAGCCCCATATCAGAAAGATGAATTTAGTATCATGAATAATTTCATAACATAATAAAAACAATATGAAACAATACAAAAAGTCACATACCTTGTTATCTTTCAGCATCTTGCTGAGAGAAGGAACAACTGGTGAGTCAGTTTTTGGCTGTGAAAACTGAAAAATAAAAAACAAATAATATATCAGTGACAATCATAACATAAAATTACAATTTAAAAAAACCCTGACTAACAATCAGATCTACAAGCAAAATAATGTGTTCACAAACCTGGTTCTCTTCCTGTTTCTTGCGTAAAGTTGGTACTGGTGGAGAGTCATTTCTCAACTAAAAATGAATAATAGACAAAAGAATTAATAAACAATATCCTGAATTTTCAATAATACAGTTGAACTTGCCTAAGTCGAATCCAAAATGCCATTAAAATATTGTTCGACTTAGATCAAATTTGACTTACAGGTTGTTAATTAATAGAAAACACAACAATTTGGCATGCAAAATAAGATCGACTTAGAAATTATTCGACTTAAATTAAATGTATATAACAGAGACTACACATATATCTTTATATCAACAAACTAAACAATGTGTTTGCAAACCTGGTGTTCTTCCTGTTTCTTGCGTAAAGTTGGTATTGGTGGAGAATCATTTCTCGGCTATTAAAAATGAATAACACACTAATAATATAACAATAACATATATAGGGTTAATAAACAATTCAATTAAGTCTCTTTTAAAACATCACTGCTTTGTTACTGCACTCTAGATGATTTTATATCTTCAAATACTGCAGTAAATAATATTGTCAATATTTACCAATTGGGACTCCCTGCGAACCTCAGCAGCCCTATTATGTTGTTCTACTGATGTATTTTCAACATTTGCACGTACTTTTTCCTCCTTTCTCCGTTCTTCAGCTCTCCTTGAGAGCTCCTCATTTTCTTGACGTGCCTAAAAAGAAGAGGATGAACTTTAAAATATGTTCAATGACTGAAGAAATAATTGGGGTATGGTAATATCGGAATAATGCAATAATAATTACTATTATTGCTATACATCATATTGTAAGCGTTTAGTTCAAAAAGCTACATTAGTATAATCTGGAACATATGATTACAACACAATTTGACTTCAGCTTTCATCAGTTTACTCCGTCTACAAACCACACTTACCGCTAAAAGGACGAGGAACCAGCAGGACGCGAGACCGACGGAACCTCTACAGGCAATGGAACAACACCCGACTCTGCCGGCAACAAACCTCAAGACTGAAGAGTGGTCCGAGTTGCCCAATCAAGAGCTGCCGCAAACTTAGTCGGGGGCCAGCGCATTCAAAACTCACAAGGCTCCGTCTACATCAACAACACAAGGGGCACTCCAAGCTTAAGACTCATTAAATAAACTTATAACATTGTATTTCCTCTCTTAAAAAATGTGCAATTTTCAGTTCATATTCAAATTTACCTTTTCCTCTTTTTGTCTCTGTTTTTCCTTCTCTGCTTCAAACTCTCTCTGCATTTTCTCTCGTTGCTCCCTGAGTTGTCTTTCTTGTTTCTCCTCTCTTAAGCGTTCCTGCTCTTTTTCCTCTTCTTGCCGCCTCTTCTTCTCTTCAATCTATTGGCACATCATAAGTTAATGATTGCTTGAAAGAAGTTTGCTTATTCTTCAGATCATGGTATACAATGAATTTACAACAATAAACTAACATCACCACAAGGAGAACGAACAAAAAACATACACAAAGGAAACAACCCCCTCAAGAGTTAAGCTTGTTTATTTGATGTAAACAAACATAGTTCCTACAAAATTTCTTAAGCTTGACATGCATCATCAAAGAAAAGTAAAAATGACCTGTTTTTTAAGACTCTCTTTGTACTCATCCTTAGCATTAGTAGGAGGTGCATCAAGTGATGTACCAAACTCAGCTGGATTCTGGATTGCAGGTATGTTAGCTCTTGGCGACAACCCAAGCTGACCAACTGGAAAAAATGAAAAGTTATGCAAAACTAATATCTTTCATTTAATCAATGTAATAAATTATGTAATTGATTTAATTAATACGTTACATAATATGAATAAATATATGAGAATTATAAGTAAAGAAGCACTTATCATCATAAACAGAACAATAAAATCATTGATTGGTTCTATAGAACATAATAGAACACTACTACATTTCCACACCAAATCATGGCTGGATTGAGAAGGCAATTATAAACCATTAAGATCTAAATTGATATTTAATAGGGAGCTTTTGATTACATGATGACGGTAGGATGTAGAAAGTAATGACGTCACATAAAGTTATCTGCGCATGCGGTCGCGTGGAATCTTGGATGCAATTTGGCCAAATCTACATATGTAGAGAACGTAGGACGCCCAGTCGGACAGTCACACATGAGTGAATCTGTTCTAGCGTCACATCGTCGCGCAAATCGCAAGCTCCCTATCAACTGACTTGACTGAAAATGTTATTGGCATATCTTTATAATAGCACTTAACTACTTCTCAGATTTCTCAGATTTAGACATGGGCTCCTTGCCATTCTATAGCAGATATAACAAGGTTCTCTCTGAAGCACAGTACAGCATTAAATGGAAACCATTGGCGGTTTTAACTCTGTACCAGTCACCAGATTGTTTTCAAACCATATTTCCTTCAAAAGTTAATGTCAATATTACCTTCACCACTAGCATTCAGGTTAGATGCAGGACCTCCAAACACATCATTACTTAACCCTTCAAATGCCTTCATCTGCTTTACTTGTTTCAAATCAGCTGAAGTATAAAATAAACAATAAAAACTAAGACCTATAAATAAAGTTTCTTATACTCAGAATTTATTTTTCTATCAATTATCTGGTAAAAACTGTCATAGATAATTCAAGTGGTAATGAAATGAAATTGTTTGATCATGGACCTATTAATATTAATAAAATTTGTGTGATACGCCAATATATATGCATGTCACATTTATCTGTTGCATAAAATTGGATAGGCGGACAAAGCTTTAGAGGGCATATTGGAGAATTTTAAGTGGAAGCGGTTGGCGCAGCAGATTCGCGTCGGTCTCTGAACCTCGAGGCCGGAGGTTCAAACTTTCACCGTGCATTTCGCTTGTGTTTTTGGACAAGGCATTTTTACCTATGTTTGTCTCTCTCCACCCAGGAGTATAAATGGGTACCCGGCAGTTCACTACTAGGGAGGAAAAAGGTGGCGTAGAAAGGAAATGGCCACCCTACCACACAATGCCAAGGCTTAGTACGATAGGCTAACAGCTCATTCCCCTACGTTCAGTAATGGATGCGGGACTACCTTTACCTTTTTTATTGGGGAATTTACCCAGAACACCAACAGATGTTATGTGAGTGCTTGAGCGGTGGAATAGTTACAATCAACTACCAACAAGTAGCTACACTGTTACATCATATGATATTATATTAACTGACACAATTAAACTAACCAATGATGTGTCCCTTGTTGTCACGCATCGGTGCACCTCCCCCTCCCTTTCCAAAGGGCTGGTAATGCTTTGCCTCTTCCTCCATTTTCAAGTCATATCGTTCTTGCGCTAATTTTTCTTCTCTTTTCCGTTTCTCTTTCTCTTGGATCTGTAAGCAAATGTCATTTTGACATGTAATTGGACATAAATAGGTGATGGCTGTGAATGTAGGCTTTAATTACTGAAAAAAATAACAATTTGTACATCATTTCAAATGGTTTCTAACAACAAAAACTGTTACATTACTTATAATCTTTTAATTATGAAGAATATGTACATAAAATAATTATTAAATGAGCATTTCAACAACTAACCTGAATTCGAAGTTCTTCCTGATAGGATTTAAAATTATCCTTGTTACGAGGACTCTTAGAACTATCACCAACAAAGTTATGAATGGAGGACTGGCCTGTCTTTTGAAGTGGTCTTGGATAAAAAGAAAAGGAAAATGTTTTACATGAAAATGGAAATTGTTAAAGGAGGTTGCATTCAATTTCATAGGATCTTATAATGGCCAATCAAAATACAATAACTACCAAAATTGTTTAAATCCAAGTGAAAAGAAAGCCTTAAACTTTTGAGGTTTGACTGCCAATTGTAGTAGCGGCTCCTGGGGGTGGCAAAAGGCTAGGCAGCACATGCCTTCAGATGTGTATCAGCATCCAAAAATCTCTAATCATGTGTGAAATTATAAAAATAGTGATATAAATGTATAAACCCCGTAATTTCCCTGAACCCTACAATAGGTAAGGGAAGATCCTAATCACTTCCACACAAACAATAGGTTTGCCACCTTATTACAATAGTAGTTCAATTTACCTCAATTTTCACCACCCTCCCCCTGGAAAAAATCTGGGATATGGCACTAAATTCACTATTCACCACAGCCATTTTTGAGTGTTGTGAAACCTCAAAAATATGCATGACTATGAAAATAAAGTAGAAAAAATCTTACTGTGTTGGTCTTGGGTCAAGAATTGGATAACTTTTACTAGAGGAGTCTGCTTTCAGAGAAGGATCATTATGTCCAGCATCAAACCGAGATGGTCCTGCATATCCATTGTAACCATTATAGTGCGGAACAACGCCTGCAAGAAGAAAAAAATACAAGATTTTACTATTACATGAGCACTTTTGAGAACAGTATTGTACTGATCAAGTGTCAATATTTTTTTTATAAATAAATATTTTAGACAGAAAGAAAACCACATATTTTTACCACACCAAACAGCAAACATAACACCAGCTAAAACAATATTACATTCAATCTGTATAATAAGCAACTATTGTTATATAATTGTTTCAATACATCATGTTCTGTAGTTGGAAAAATATAAACAATTTATAGCATAATGTATCAAAGCATTAAATCATAAACAAAATATAGGCCTATAACATAAATATTGAAAACAAATAACAGAATACACCTAAATAAAAATATAATTCACATTTTCATTCAAGTTGAATTAAAGAGGCACTTACAGTTACTAAATAAACAATATAACACAACCAAAAGTAAATGTCAAAATTAGCACAAAAAATAATATAAAATTAATGTTTTTTAAAGACATACATAAGTTACATGCTCAAAAAATAAGGTTACTCAATTTCTCTTATTCAAATTTCTTAATCATAGTAAATACTGTGATTTATGTCTACATGTAATAATACTGTACTATATTTAATAATACTGTACTACATGTAATAATGTCTATGTGTAATGATGGCAGACAGATGGACAAATAAGCAGAGGTTAACTTTAGATACAATAAATCATAAATAAACTGTGCTGAAAATTAAACTATGGATGTATATTATACCTCCATGATTGAACCATACCTACAGAAAACTATGATAGTCTACAGCGATTTTTTTTTTTTGAAGGATTTATGCCTGAAATAATACTGATGTACATTTTTTTTTTACACAATTAAAATGACAAGAATGTTATCAAATAACATATATATAAAAATATAAATCCTAAAAAATAATCCTTACCAATTAAATTCATTTGAAGTAGCAAGATTAAAGAAAGAATTGAATGAAATTTAAGACATCAAGCAAAGGATAACACAAAAATAGGTTGAATTACCATAAATGTATGAATACACAAAACATATTTTAGTACTGAAGAAGATCATAATAAAAAAAGATTCATTTTGGATGAGAGGAACCAAATATGAAGCCAATGCCACACCTACACAATAAACTACTAGTTAACTTTACCTCCTCCTTCCCTGCACAATACTCATACAATAAACCAGGAGTACTGAATTGTTTATGTAATTATCAATTTTAAATATTTATGGTGATCTAGATGCACGGATGGTAAAATTAGTGCTACAAAATTTGATAGGAAATACAAAGGAAAATGAGCAGTGATGAAATGAAGAACATCAAATATGAATGAGCAATAATGTATGAAATATGACAAAAAATATTGAACAATGAAACAATGATTGTGAAAGAAATGCTGGATAGAATAGAACTGAAAAAGAAATAATTTGGAAAGCCTGCACAACACTATGACCAACACTGTAAATCAGTGACAAAGCAATAACAAATGACTGTCAAAAGATATACTGCCATTGATGTCTAATGAACTTTATTTTTTAAAAATATCTACACATACTAATTTGCTCAAGTACCATTCGGTGTGCAAACAATATGAGATTCGCCTCACTATGGCTTATCTTAATTTAATAAATTTCTTAAGCAATAATATTTTATATAAAAGAATATCAAACTCTATTGCATAATATACCATTATGAGGCAAATCCTCCTGTGCTTTCTTTCCCAAAAAGTCTTTGAAAACTGTGAGCATGCAAAATAAAATCATGAAAAGTAGTTTGGAATGTTTAATTAGTAAACTATTTGAAATAATAATAAATGATTGGTATATACAGTGTTTATACAAAATTGCATGGTGATAAAACAGATGTTTAAAAACATCTGTTTTATCACCACACATATTATGTGCTTGTTTGAGAATGAATTATTTAGTCATTTGAGTACATATTGAAAGCAGTGGCGGATTTAGGTTTATGGCCGGAAATGGCACTTTCAGATATAAAGTTTGAATAGAATTTTCTTTTATTCTTCAATTTTCTTTTTTAAAATTTTGGGTCCCCCTCTTAGAATCCGAATAAATCCGCCACTGGAAAGTCAAGAGCATATGTATATGTTGAGGATGTATATTTTGAGTGTGTTAAGAGTGCATGTGCTGAGAGGGTGTATTAGTGTAAAATATGTAGATTTGAGAATGTATGCTCATATTTACCTTTTTATGATGTACAGTATTACAGGCCTACATATTTAATTGGTGGTGTTCATTCTGCCCAAATATAAAGGGGGGGGGGGGAAGATCCCCAGGGCCCAAGCTTACCTGGGGCCCATAGAAATTGCAGGTAGCATTTTTTTTTTCAATATTTTTTTTCAAAAATAATAATTACTACCATGGGCTCTCAATAATGGCATGGGTCCCCTAATAATGGGCCCCGCCAGATTGGCAGCGGCCCCCCCAAAGAAAATGCTTGCGCCTTCGACACAATCTTTTTCGCACTCCGTTTCGTAACTGTATGTCCACACCAGCCCTTGCCCTGTTATAGTTTCAACTCTTGGCGGCAATGTTCGTGAATATATACTTAGTACAAAGTGCTAATTTACAATAAAAATGTTTAAAAATTACTTTCATATGCTGATCTACTAGAGGGGTTGATTTGCTGAACTCCAGATGAATGAGCTAAAAATTACATAAATAAAATAGTAGTAACATTAAATACATGTACAGTATTCATGTTATACAAGAATAAATGTATATCTCAATGCACATATCATATTAATATTCCAAAACTCTGTGAATTATTGCCAACTGGTTAATATAAAGCAGAACATTAATCTACAGCATTTAGCTCTCATTAAAAGCATCCATCATACAGATTATAAGACAATTTCAATTGGTTTATATATTTGCTGTAATATTTAACATTTATGCTAAGGAAGAATGCATGATAAATACAGTACGAGTTAGAATATACTAGGCATGCACAATTGTATACAGTTTGCATAACTGTACCTTGGTATAGGCCTATTCACTAAGGAATTTTTTTATAATAAATTACAATCTTAAATAAGTCACAATCACTAAAAATACAAAAAATGATTAGTAGATTAAAGAGTTTGTCAACAATATACAAACAAACAAGAAAGCTTATCATAAAGCATTATCACATAGCTGAGCATATGATCTGAGAAAAGAAGGTACAAAAAAAAACATGCAATGGTAGAGCTGCAAAATGACATTAAAAATCTATTATTAAAACGTATGTTATTTTAATATTACCAGAGATCTACAGTAATAATATGTAAATCAACTGAATATATCACAGTAAATCTTAATAGTAAATTTTCCTCTTCCAAAGAAGACAATTCTATGTTGTTAGGCCTGCAATTACTTTTAGCATTAGTACAACACACATTAAGCATATCATAGCAAGTAAGTATGATGACAACATGCACCACTCAAAAAGCTCACCAAAATATAATAAGTAAGTTTACACTAATTTCCAATTCTGTTGACATGCTAGGAAAAATAATTTTAAAAATCTTTGGAATGGATTAGATTTTCAAATGTGAAACACCCCAAAGATGACAACTGAAGTCTGAAGATCCAATCGCTCATCCCAAAATTCTGCACTTACACCAGGAGACAATCCCCAACTCATTTCCGAAAAAAATACTGAGTTCTTTATGTGCACATGGGCTAAATTGCATATAAGACAATTATAATGGCGGGTTGACACAAGCTACAAAAAAAAAAATTCCCTTTTTTTTTTATCACGTGCCCTCAATTGGTGTAGCATTCTTCAGACACATTCCATGGCTCAGGAATATCGTAGTGAACAGGTGGAAGTTTAATGGTGGGAAACACAGGGTTGTAGTATGAATCACTTTCACAGCCCATCAACAATGCAAGCTAGGGTATCTAAAGTATGGCTAGTGGAGTATGGTCAGTGTGTGGTTTGAACTCCTGAGCACAAGTTCAACAACCACAATGGAAATAACTGAACCAAACTGCCTTTCTTTTGTACATTAAAATCGATATAAAAAATAGCATACGAGTAAAGGATATTACTTATTATTAATTATAGATTATCATTTGATAACCCTGATTTTTGTATGCTTTAATCACTACTAACAATAGTTAGACCATTAATCATTTTCAAAACACAACCCACATGATAAACAGTAAGCACAAAACACCTTAAAGCTTCTGTTGCTTATAATACTAAACAACAAATACAAATATATAGGGTGCATACATTGTTATCCTCTTAAACTAGAAACAAGCTGTAAATTGTGCAATGCAGAATTTTATAGAAGCTAAAAAGTTAGTAATATTCAATATACAGATCAGTTGTTGCATTAACTAGAAAATACACTTAATTAAAATTTTTTTTTAAATAGAAAATTAATAATTTTACCCTCTTGTAAAACTTCATTAATTTCAATCTTACGAAGAATATCTGAGGCAAATATGAAAGTAAGGAATTGAAATAATTAAACAAAAAATGATGCCTAAGGGAATATATACTGTAATCCCAAATAATAAAGCCTGGTTTCCTAAAAATCGCTACAGTGTTTACAGTGCAATTGTACTATTGTATCAGTCCCTGATGCAATCGGTTGGGCTCCGTGCTTCGACTGACCATGCAATCAGTATCACCAAAAGCTGTCGGTTATAGCGATTGTATGGAAACCAAGCCATAAACAAACCTAGGCATCATTGATACACCTCCATTAAACATTACTTCAAATACACACCTGACAGCATCTACTCTATTCCTTTCATTGAATATGATGGTGAATACTGCACAATGTTAAAGCAGTATTTAGTGTACAACAGATGCATTTGGCTAGATATGTTCCTGCTTCTTGCACCTCAGTTCATACCTGGTTTATGTTGATTTCTATTAGGAGTCTAATCGCTCAGCATCTTGTAACCCTCTAGGTGGGATAATAAGGGAAAATATATCTTTGTATTGACACTCACATTACTTTAATAGCTCAACCCATTTTAACACTTTCTTGACAAAAACAGGTTTAACTAAAAGATGATTGAATGTAATTTTTACCTAGCAGAAAATGTTTTACAGTGTGTGAGGTTAGCATTCAGATTTACAAAGGTTTATATTCTTATTGTTTTTGTAATAATTAACAAGAGTTTGAAGAGCTTTTTAGCTAAAATATATACACATATCAAAGCATCAAGCAGACATAAAAAGCATAGATGTTTTAAACATACCAGTTATGAATTCAAGAATCCAGAAAAATAACATCACCACAAACTCAAAATAGAAAAAAAATCAAACATAAAGAACATGGTTTATAAAGTTTATGAAAACCAGAAACATTTGTTTGATAGAAACTTCAGAACGTTGTTGAGATTGTTTATAACCTATTAATCCAGCAATGGCATGTCCATATCAGATAACAGACAATTGCTAGAGACTTGTAATTAGTGTGAGCACCAAGGATAATCCACAAAAGTTTGAAGACTTATTTCCGGTGGGATCTTTCCGATGATTATTGGGCAGTGCACCAGAAGACAATTCCTGCTCTTTGCCAAAGAGTGTGTACTGCACTGTGTTCTTTAACGTGCACAGGAGCCATATTGCACTTGTGACCAAAGGCTTAAATATCTCATTCGAAAGGTGGTTCGCTTTTTCATACTTGCATTTCAGTCCGCTAGCTAAAACACAAGGAGAGCAGTGGACAGAAATTAACCGGGTCCCGAAAGAATCTCCACGGTTCCAAGCACACACAGAGGCTACAACCAATTTGCCAACTAAGCTATGCTGCTCTGTTGAAAAAACCCATATTTTTATCTTGCACACCGTGATATTACCATGTAACATAGAGGCTAAAGATATAAATCACTATAGATAGAAGAATAAAATACACTAATGTTTGAAAAAGCAGTTAAAAAATTAGGTTTCTTTATATAACTGATGGTAAGGTGTCTATTATGGACACAGCACCATTTTCTACTGTTTTACTGCATACTGACAAAGAAACTAATACAAAAACATACAAATTCACTTAAAGCACCATATGTGGCAAAGACAAGCCAAACCAGTCACTCGTCGCAAAAATCGATTTTGAGTTATTAATACAGAGTTAGAGAGTAAAATAATAGCTATAAAATGGTAAAAAAATCATTCAAATCGGACATTTCCTTATGAAGTTACAAGTGTTAAAACATACAGCTGTTTAAAGAACAATATATGAGAAATCAGCCTTCAAAGTTTATGATTTTAAGCATTTCTCATGCAGAAACTATCATCAAATCCTTAAAAAGTGTTGTGTTAACATTGAAAATGACAGCATAGAATGATGTATAGATATGTAAAGATTAGTTTAGTGCAATAAAATAGATTTTTAAAAATTTAACATTCCAGGATGTTTTGGCCATTTTCTTTAAAACACGATTTGCGACGAGTGATTGGTTTGGCTTGTCTTTGCCACATACTGTATAATACTTAATATTTGTGCATTCGTTTTCTTCTACTGTATTTTCAGAATAATTCACTCTTGAAAAAATTGTACTAATGATATCTGTGTACTTGTGTAGCGCATATTACTGAAACAGTCTATGCACTTGAAAAGTGTAGTCTTGAAAAGACAAAAACCGAGAAATATCTTAAACTAAACAAGGGGAAACAACTGAAGGAACAAAGAGAAGACAGCAGAATAAACCACAGAAGACAATCCCTGTTCTTTGCCAAAGAGTGCGTACTCTGTTCTTTAACGGGCACATGAGCCATATTGTACTTGTGACCAAAGGCTTAAATATCTTATTCGAAAAATGGTTCGCTTTTTCATACTTGCATTTCAGTCCGCTAGCTGAAACGCAAGGAGAGCAGCGGATGGAAATTAACCGGGTCCCGAAAGGATCTCCACGGTTCAAAACACACACAGAGGCTATAACCAGCTTAGACAACTGAGCTATGCTGCTCTGTTAAAAAACCCATATTTTTATCTTGCACACCGTGATATTACCATGTAACAAAGAGGCTAAAGATATAAATCAATATAGATAGAAGAATAAAATACACGAATGTTTGAAAAAGCAGTTAAAAAATTAGGTTTCTTAAACTGATGGTAAGGTGTCTATTATGGACACAGCACCATTTTCTACTGTTATATTGCATACTGACAAAGAAACTAATACAAAAACATACAAATTCACTTAAAGCATCATATGCTACAGAAATGTTTAAAAAAATCAGGTAAATACGTATTTTATATGGCCGCTCTCTTTTTGAATATACATTTATTCTATCTAAAAGTTCAACCATTATTTAGCATTATTATTCTCAAAGAGGGAACCCATGGACAGAATTTTACAGATAGAAAATCCGAGATAGTACGTCAGCTACACCATTGCTGGGGCTGATGCAAAAATTACTGTAATAAAAAGTAATTTTTCGAGTCATGGGGTTCATAGGGCTAGAGCTTATCCCCAGTTTTTGTAGAGTGAAGCAGATGAGAGCGTGATACACCCTTTTGGAGGGACGCTAGTCCACCGCAATACTGTAATAAAGTGTAACTAAAGTGAACATAGGGTTCCATGTACAACCCTTTTTTTTATTATATTTCTATAATATTGCCTTAATTCTATTACATATTTGTTATTTGTACCTTTTTGTATATTTAAATTATTGGTTAAGTGGAATTAAATTAAAGAAAGCTACAAAAGCGAACACAACATAAAGATTGATAGTTTATGTATACCATGCTCATTTTAATTATGGTATAATACTATCTTGATTTATGTTCTGATAATACTAATCACAAACGTTGATATCATTTGCTGCAACTTGATAGCTGGCATTTTCAACACAAAACTGAAGCAAAGTACTGTATACCTTTTGGGTTATCTCCTGGTTGGGACACGACTTAGAAAGAAAATGATAATACATTATAACTTAAGTTAAATTAATTATTATCTAAAAAGTAATAATAACTATTTGAGAATTAATTTACTGCCTTTATTATTTTTAATACACCTTAGTTGAATATTATGTTTTCAAATTAGCAAATACATTTTTCTGAAAATATTAAAACTTTGTAATCACCAAGTATATTAAATACCTGTACTTTTTTTTTTTTATTAGTGTCTTGCTTCTGTTATTTACGTTATGGCATAAGATTCACAACATTTAGAACAATAACACAAACAAATATCACACATGACAAGAACTGTATTGGGATGAATATTTGGCCTATAAACACTGATTGTATAATCAAATAATTATTTTATATAACTTTAAAGTACTGACAAATACATATTTAGCTTTTAGTTTAGAAAAAAATTATTTTTATAAACGTTAATAAAAGCATGAATTATTTTACCACCAAAATGTTGACCTGTGAAACCATATATAGAGCCTGGAAGGAAAAAATCCATGAAAAAAGCTATTTACACATTCCATATAGCTAGTAGTATTCGAAATACCAAGTGATCAATGTAATGTTGCAAAAATATTTTAAATATTATGACTACAGATTGTAGACATATTCAAAATATTGGTAACTAACATGTCACACAGCTGTTAATAATATCCATCATCAGGCAGTAAAAAAATTTAGAGATTTGACATTAGGAAACTAAAAACAACATGAATTCCACTGTACTGGAAAAAATCTGCAAAACTTAATATGAAATTAAAAATGAATGGTAAATAAAGATAACACAATTTAAAAAAATTACTTTTTTCACTTTAGAGCACATTCTAATGGGTAAAAGAATATTATATTAACAATGAAAAATCAACAAGAGGAGCAGAGAAAAGATAATAAAATGTTTTAACCTGTACTACAATACAAAGAAAATTCACAATCAGAATATGTAACAAAAAAAGTCACAATCAGAATATGTAACAAAAAAAGTCACAATCAGAATATGTAACAAAAAAAAGTATCAAAAAAAATTTGTGAATAATTTATTTCCATTATAATTAAAAACATAAACAAAATTATAGTTCATATAAACCACAAAAAAATATCCAGATTAATACACAGTCATTACTGTTCAGGTGGTCATTCAATGTGTATACAAACAGGCAATTTTTTAATTTACAGTAACCCTTTTGTATTACTATAGCATAAGTAAAACAACTTGAACCATTTCATTGATACTCATACACTACAAATAAAAATGTCTACCTAAATTTATATATGTATCTTAAAAAAATATGCAGGCAGATTCTGTAAAAAGATTAAACCTGTATAAAATAGAAGTAAAAATTTTCAAAATGTTATGTATGTATGCATGTATAGACAAAAAAAAAAAAAAAAAAAGATTTGTTCTATTATTTAAGAGATAGTCTCACCTGGCTCTCCTTCCATTGGGTTTCGCATTCCATAATACATGTAAGGGTCAACTGAGTCAGACTTATAGTTTGGTAAATGGTACGGCCCAAGTTCAAATGGTCTGAAATTATAGAAAATAAATTGCATGCATATTATAATTGTAGGTGTTTATATTTATATTTACAATTATGTTTTCTAAACTAAAAGCTAAATATGTATTTGTCAGTACTTTAAGGTTATATAAAATAATAATTTGATTATACAATCAGTGTTTATAGGCCAAATATTCATCCCAATACAGTTCTTGTCATGTGTGATTTTTGTTTGTGTTATTGTTCTAAATGTTGTGAATCTTATGCCATAACGTAAATAACAGAAGTAAGACACTAATAAAAAAAAAAATACAGGTATTTAACAGAGATATTCTCAACCAACAACAACAGTTCTTTTCAGAACTATCTACGTGGTGTACCGCAAGCATTAATTATATACAATTATGTTGTTGCACTATCTCTGTGAGAATTGTGCCTCTGTTACAAAAGGGAGACAATAAAAGTCACTATTATAATAAAAACACTGTAGTCGTCAGGAATATAATGGTGGGGACCAAGTCCATAACTATCTCGCTCTCCCCATGGACGGGGCAGAGGTATGTGTGCACATTTTAGAAATACAGCAACTCTAGATGCCTGTAAATAGCAGGGGAAATCCTGCAGAGCTTCAAGGACCTAGTAGCTACAAATAGAATCAAACTTACTTTTCTAACATTGGCGCTTTTGGTTTCTGAATTGCAGATTCCAGACCAAAATCCGGGATGTCTACTGGTTGGGGTGGCATATATGCCTGGTTCACTTGTGGAGCAAATGAAGGTTGGTACCTAGATGTATAATTCATGCCTGCTGAAGGTGCAGCATGATATGCTTGAGAAGGTGCTTGTCTGGAAACTGGTTTTGGTAAAGCTTTGAGACGATCAGGCTGTGTTGACAAAAATGTATATCAGTAGCAAGTGGATTTGTGTGACTTGTATTCAATTATCAAAACCATTATATATATATATATATATATATATAAGTATAAATATTCAGATTAATTTAATAAGACTGAGTTACATTAAACTGGCATATTTGCAATGGAAACTAGATTTTCAAATTTCCTAAAATTAATAATTAAATTGCCAGGTTATATTTTTTGTAAATTATGTCAATCACTCTAGGCCTCTTTAGTACAGTTTATACTTTACTTTGACAGAGATACCATATTTTATGGAATAAACGCTCTGTTGCGTTTACTGTTGAGAACAGTTTTGGGTTGGCGTATGTTCGAGGGGTTTATTCCAAATGAGGCTGTAGAGGGGGAATTTATTCAAGGGGGCGTATATTCAAAGCAGGTGTTTATTCAAATATGGTATGTCATGTCACATAAATTCATAGTTCTCACCAGTTTCTCAGGATCTTGGAGACCAGTAACACTTACTGTTAACCCTTCTGATTTTTCCCTGTTAAGAAAGTCAATACAATACACAGTTAAGTGAAATTAATAATACACTAAACATGAATAATTGTATTTCTCGCACACAATGTGTATTTTATGTTTGTATTTTCACTACATGTATTTATAAAGACGTTTCTGGCAAGATGTGGCGTCATTAGAACTCATATATATTGTAATTTTAAGCACCTACTGTGTGAGAATATGTTACTCTTGTATGTAAGTGTCAATCTCTTTTAATCAAAACACAAAAATTATGCACAGCAAACATGACAAAGAGTAAATCCACCTTTTGCCCTTGGTTACTTCGGGGTAGTGACGTCAACTGTATGCGGTATTAAATCAAAACATTTGGATACCGCATAGCGAAGCTGAACTGTAAAGTTCTGTAAATCATGGTAGACTTTATTTGCTAAGTAATTTATTTGAGAATATCATTTATAAAAAAATCTAATTCAAAAGTTAATTTATACTATATAGCTGACTTTTATGTAATATTTTATCGCTGTCCAAGCTGTGATTTTAAGCTTGAAATCGTACCTTGTGCAATGCTAGGCCAGCCAAGGCCTGGGGGTTTGTATTATATACTATTTAGTTCTGCACAATCCACAATCCTACGAATACTTCCCAATGTAGTATTCTTATGACTAAAGACTATATTTTATATTTTATTATGGGTATGACTAGCATGAATGATTAAATGGAATCATTTATTTTGATCACCAAGAATGAATGTCTCAGGACAATACATCTCTCAGGCTAGACATACACGGGCCGCCCCTGCACACACAATCAATCACTTCAGTCAGTTAGGGTGGATTATTAATACAGTATTAAGTTTTATGGGCTTTTGGAATGTTATTTTCTAGTGTAACATTCAGAAATATTGTATCTGGTGCTAGACGTTTCTTTTGGCTATGAGTATAACTCCAATTTCATGTTAAAAGTACAGAAACAGCAAATTATGGTTTTGTTCACAACAGACAAATCCAGCAAAGACAGTTGTCGAGCTGCTATCTTTACAGTGTATTAACTTGAGCGTTAAAAACAATAACAAACCAAGTACCCCATACAGATGACATGACTGATCAAACGCAAAAGGTGGATTGGTCAACCTACTACACAACAAAACTACAAAGAGTTGTTTTTTTTTTGGGGGGGGGGGGGGGGGGAGGGGGATTGGTAAACTTAAACTGAGTGGAGAAATGACACAAGCACAAAGGGAAACTGAATATGAAAATAAATTAATATTTTAACCTTACGTTACACATTTGTTAACATTATGTTATAACATATTTGAAAGCTTTAAATACATATTTGCTTTTTACCAACAAATTATGTCATATACCTGCCATCTGCCTAAATATGGATGTGATTAAGAAATCATGATCAAAATCTATTTTAGCTATTTATTCACAACAAGGTGCATGAATGCATTTGGGGTGAAAGGTTCAAAATGTACATGGGGGCACCACCTAATTTTTATTTATTTTCTACTACTATACATTATTAAAAAAAAAGGACTGTACAAAAAGCAGCAAAAACTGAAAAGTACTTTAAACAGATTTAATAGCTTGTAAACAATTTTAAAGAGTAAGCATTAGAAATATTAAAATAACTAGTTTTGATAAAAATGGTTTAATGTCTTATCTAAAAGAATTTAGTAGAGAAAAATATCTTACCCATAAGGACACAAGTACTGTACATGTTATCATGGCCAATTATCAAACAAAAGGAACATGTGACACAAAAATAAAACCCTCCCAAAAAATGAAATGAAATATGGCTATTAATCTTTTTCAGCAAAGCACCATTGTTATGGAACCAGCTTCCAATATTCCCTAATGTGGTAACATTCCTTTGCTATGTTTAAGGACCGCCCAAAAACCATATTTTTACTATTTCATTTGCCTTGTTTTTTAATTACATTTTATATGAGATCACTGTGACACTATGCTAATAAGTAAGAATAGCTGTAAAGATAGTGTCTTGGATAAAGTTAAGAAAGCTACAAAGACAGTAAAGCAAATGTGTGTACTTACATTTCCCTATTCCTGTTGGGAAAACATAGTGAGAAAAGTTTTAGAAAAGCAAAGCAAAGCTAAATCACAAACTTCAATGGCAAAACTAACATGATAAAATACGAAACTTTAAAAAAAAAAATGCATTTTACTATTAAAGACTAATCATCTAGTATAATCACAATCACATGAATAGGAGTGTCTTTAGAATAATAATAGCATGTTGTATATACAGTAGTGCATAATGTCAAGACACCACACTATTACCCCAGAGGAAGAAGAACACACATTCCGTTCCATGGTAGCAAATTCCAAAATGCTGCAGGAACTGTAGGCCGCGCATTAGTATACAAAAAGTACCAAGGACCAACTTGCACTCCTATGTGGGGACGATGTGGATAAAGTGCCTTGCTAAGGACACAAGCAAAACACAAACTGAAGGGAGAGATTCAAAACCCCAACTTTAATATTAGGGCGCTTTCAATTAGCTACAGACAGAGAACGTAATGACGTCACAGTAATTTAAATTCACATGTCTGACATTGTGCGCTACATCCTCTCCTGAAATCTAGAACGATTGTCGATCGAATCAGAATGATGACTGTACACTGATGCATCAGTTTTTGCGTTCGTAACTGATTTAAAGTAGAACGAAGAATGCATGCGACAACAGTCCCGAATGGGTGAATCCGTTCCACGTTCCTGGTCTAAGTTCTCAATTGAAAGCTCCCTATCATGACCCAAACCGCAAAAGCTGCACTGACCACTCCTTCTATTTAACTTGTCCTGCTTCCTGGGTGAGTGAGAATACTGTAATTAAGGCAATGGCACACCCTTATATTTAGGCTGCTGTTATTATCTGTTGTATATAAAAATGTCGCATAATATACAAAATAAGCAAATGTCATACATGCACTATGCTACATGTGTAGCCTAAAGTGATATGTATATAAGCACATAAATTCTAAGAATAATCTAGCTTCATATTAAGTACGAATTATACAAATTATTGCTTGGTCGTTGATCGATTAATGTTGTTATTTAATGGTCATAAACCATTTAGTGTCACCTTCGTTTTGCCTCCTGGGCCTCCTTCATCTGCTTCTCTAATTCTTTCCGATATTCTTCCTTCTTTCTCTGAGATGCACTTAGACTTTGTCGCTGACCTGAAACAGATAGCAGAGAACAAGAACCACAGTCAGCACTAAATGTTTTATAGGCAAAATGTAAATGTAATATGAAGTAAAGTAATTTAGTTAGAATTATAGAGCTCTTTATACCGAAGTCTCAAAGTGCTTGAGGCATGGACTAACTTAAGTCTGAGCTCCCCAGTGAAAGCTGGCGCCAGCTTCTCTCATCTCTCCACAACAAGGGTTGCATGTAGGCCTACACTGAAGTAAACCTTACACGTCTTGCAAAGCATACTGGGTTCTTTGAGCCTACAGTTTATATCATTATCCGAGAAGACTTGTTCTACTACCAGAATCAGAGGCGAGTATGCTGCTCATACAAGCACCAATATTATGACTGTAGGTTGCGGAAACCCTGCCATAACCAATCAGCCATTTGACTCACATAGTGGCACTAACCCAATATTAATGATAATTGCATGATACATAAAACATACAGCATTAACCAAATAAAACTGACATTCAAACACATACAAAAAGTATATAGCAAAAAAACTGTATTTGGAAATAGAAATGAGAATACAAAAACTTACCAATAAAGAATCCTTCATCATCAGCAGATTTCGGACGTGGTTTCCTTGTGTTGACTACCTCTGGCTGATTATTCTGTACTGGCCTGTAAGCAAATCAAAGTGGATGCAGTAAGTATACACATTTACATATGTACAAATGTCATATTATGATTTAAAAAAAAACAGATGGAGATTCTGAGCTAGTTACCACAGCAAACTAAATGAAAAATGAAAACAGAGTACACATGACAAAACTTTGTTTAATATTTACAACAAATGTAGAATCTCTGGATATATGCATGCATTGCATTTCTTTGAATATTCTCAATATAGGAAAAAGGCTTTTTTGTCAAGAACCTCAAAATAATAATCAACAAAGCCTTTGTTGATAGCATGGACAAACCAAACCAAAGTAAACAATTTTAATTCACATTATACAGGATGTAGAAAAAGAGAAATTCACACAGAAAATTCAAAGCACATGAAGGCCATGGATTGAAGCACACTCAATACAACTAAAAGCACCTCTAAACATATGTGGCAAAGACAAGCCAAACCAGTCATTCGTCGCAAATCCTGTTTTGAAGATAATGACCAAAACATGCTGGAATTTCAATATTTTGGAAATCTATTTTATTGCACTAAACTAACCTTTATATATCTATACATCATGCTATGCTGTTATTTTCCCCATTTTTGATGTTAAAACAATTTTAACCATTTGGTGATGGTTTCTGCCTAAGAAATGCCTGAAATTGTCAACTTTAAAGACTGATTTCTCAAATATTGTTCTTTAAACAACTGTATGTTTAAACTCGTGTAACTTCATAACAAAGTGTCGGATTTAAATGATACTTTTACTATTTTATAGCTCTCATTTTACTGTTAAACACTGTATTAATAACTAAAAATTGATTTTTGCGACGAGTGACTGGTTTGGCTTGTCTTTGCCACATATACTGTAGCATCTGAATTAAACTTACTTGTCATGTGCCTTTTGCTGCTTGCTATTAATTAAGAACAATTTCATATAATTTTAAAATAATATATTAATATGTTATACTTATTGAAAAAATGAAGTTATCTTGCATTCATTATTTTTATGTTATATTGTCCAGCATCACCGGGATAAACCGGACCACATTAGTACCAATTATTGTCTCTCCAAAGTTGGCTGGACATGGGCATCAAATAGCGCAGCAAAATACAATGATGTGGCAAAAAATCACATCAATCAAGATCTCCCTAGTGGCTTCTTCCAACTTGGAACCGCCCCGAGTTTATGAATATGACACACAAAATTTCTACAAATACATTTAGCAGATTGATACAGTAGATGATTCAGGAGGAGCGGCGCTTAGCCCGCCCAGGCCTCCTTTAATTTTTCAACATTTAAAAAAAAATGGGAAAAAAAGAAAATTATTTTCAAATGTTAAGTCTGAGAGTGCCATTTTCGGCCATCTAGAGGACTGCCATAATCATATATATTTTCTTACCTCAGCCCCAACCATGGTGGGCCTGAGGTGCTATACACCCCCATCTGTCCCTCCCTGTGCCCTCTCTATTTCAAATTCCTGGATCTGCCACTGTGATATTCATTTTTCAGCAATTTATGTAAAATTTTACAGACAGTAAGACTACAGGTAAGTTTTGAATTGTACAAGAAGTGCATATTTACCTTTCCATTTCAGGCAATGTTCTACTCCTTTCTTCACGATAGAAATTCTGAAAGAGAATTTTAAATAGTTACTAGTAATGACATTTTCGTTTCCATTTACTATTTTCAAAAAATATTACCCATTTTGTTTTAATATTTCGTATCATTTTTCTATGGTTATGTTTATGATTTATTGCAATTTAATACTCTAGAGCAGGGGTCAAGGAAGTAGCACATATTATCATATAGTTATTATCAATTCTTTTTTTTATCCCTAAGCCATATAAAATGTATTCGAACCTTAATCAGTGATTATATGCTCCATCTTTGTACAATTCTTTCAAGAAACCTGTGAGCTCTTGTAACATTTTCTCTATATTCTTTCCATAGACCTTTAATGTTTCCGTTAATCAATTATTTTTTCCAGAGCAAAGGAGCAAAGCCTGTTGGCATTATAGTAAGAATTACTTACTTGATCAGTGCCATCATACATGTCATCACGCCTGTTATAGCGTCCTCTTTCTCTGTCTCTATAGTCATCAAACCTAACTCTCCTAGAATAAACAAGTAAATTATCTATTTAAATCATAGCAAAAGAATTTAGGCCTACTAGAAATAATGAAATTATATCATTAAGCTAAATCTTTTTGATATCATTAAAACTGACATTATTATATAAGTCATAATTATTATAATTTCCACTATTATTTATTTTTATATATCATTTTTGTCATTATTTAAAATTTGGAATTAGAAATTGCAGCTTGGTGCCTAGGGACCAGCAGTGGCCATAACACGGTGCCGTACCATATATCGTCTCACTTAACACGGTGCAGTACTTTGACTCTTGTCCCACTAAACTCTCATGTGAGGGTTCTTCGTGGAATCGAGCGATCGACTCGAATTAAAATCCACCATTTGCCGAATTTGAACTGGGGAGTTCAGCACAAGAAGCAGGAGTATTGACTCTCAGCCAAACGCTCAGCTCTATCATTATTGTATATTGTTCAATTTTACCTTAATTAATAATGCAAAGCTATTGAAATTGTGAGCATAATTTGTCAAGGACCTCCAAATTAAACTGTCACAGCCTAACTCAATTAGTATTATAAAAGAATTCATTTTTATTTAAATAGCTTTACAAATTAATTTATGTTACTAGATAATGAAATAACAATGGATTAATTACCTATCATAATCACGTTCATCTTCATAGCGATCATTATAATGCCTACGATTCTGCAAATTCAATCAACAGTTATTTCAGATTACAACAATGCAGACCAAATTTGATATTCAAGGTATTAACCTCGTGTCTGCCCTGAAGTTGGCCCCTTCCACACAAGAACCACAGCTGTTGGCAGCGCATTAGCAACACATCACAAATACAAAAATCTGCATAGACATTATACAGTATATTTCCTGCCGAAAAGTGAGGGGCCCTGGGCCCCCGCCCCGGTTCCGCTGGCCATGTATGTCACTGGCGTATGAGCCGCTCCCACTCAACTCAAAATTGTTCTTAAAAATTAAAACCTATGTATTAAATAATCTTAAAGCACTATTTACTTTTAAAAAGAAAGTTTCTGAACGCAATGTATGCATAACAGAACTTTTGAGACTATCCCTAAGTTCAGCTTTACGACAACGTACTAACAGGCAATCTAGCTAGCTATAGTAGGTTAAGATTAAGAAGATCCCCAAATCACTACCATACTCTTAATATGAGTGAACTAGTAATAGCGTAATCAGGGGTCAAATATTGTAATCATTAAGTCAAAATCGTAAAGGTTGGCATCTCTGGTTTGGGCAAAACAACAGAGTCAAGTGTCAGCCTGCTGTACATACTGCTAATATTTCTATATTCCCAATTTCTTTTGCAAGTTATGGTTAATGCATTGTAAAATTGAAACTGGAATGAAAAAAGTTTCTTATATTGGCATTTCATGATGACAGATGATAAACATAAATGGTTTAGAACTTACATCAGGGCCAGGCCAATTTAAGTAGGGGTCACTCACAGATGGTCGCATGCCCCTTCTTTCATAATAATCCAAATCATCGTCATATCGCCTAACGATAGAAAAAAAAATTAAACTAATAAAGAAAATGTGTATAATTTTAATAATGTTTCCAACAATGAAGGCACCCACAATCAGTGGACAGCCCTGTGTCATCGACTGCTTACTCAAACCAAAGGTGGATTCGTTGACAACCATCAGTTGATGTATTGTAAGTCTGGTTTTACAGAGACAGCCTCTATGCCAAAAAAAGCATATAAATTAATGGCATTAAATCTACAGCTTATACTAATGAGTCACTTAAAAAACTACAAAAATCATCCTGTACCTGTATCGAGCCTCTTCTGCCCTTTTCCTTCTTAAAATATCATCATAATCCAGATGAACAGGTGTACCCCATCCCTTTCGGGCAGGTGGTGGTCCATCATCATAGTGTCTACTGTAATCCCTGCGAGGCGAAAGCGTTTGGGAAGAAAAATCTGTTTGCTGGAAATTGTCATGATGATCTGCATGCCTAGGCCGTGGTGATCGTTTATTATCGTAGGAACCACCAATACCCCTACCACTTTGCTCCTTGTGAAATGAACTGTCTCTTGGAGATTCTCTATCAACACCATTCACATTGGGCTAAACAAAGTAGTAGAAGACAAAATATTATGATTGTTATTTTACGATTATTTCTACATTGAACATGGGCAAAATTGTTCATCAATAAGGTATTAAATGCATAAAATTCAATATATTTCATCATCATATACTGAAATTACACATGAAATTTGTTTGTTTTTTGGGGTTTTTTTTGGTAAAAATATACACAAAACCTGAAAGTCATGAAAGCTACACCGAATGTAAAGATTAGGCCTCTATTTGATTTGCTTTCTTTTTGGCTAATAATTTTCTATTGAGGGTTGTATATATATTTGGAGATATTCAGCACATAATGCTACCTAAGTAATACGAAAGTAAAAGAAGATATTTAAAAAAACATGAACAATGAATATAATATATCCATTCCAACAAAATAACCCAGAAAGGCAGGCAGATTCAAATTATTTAAAAAGTTGATCTTTGTTCTCGATGTACACCAAAGAATGTGAAGAACACACACTTCGTACAAATCGGTGAAATCTTTGAACATAATTACATATAGTGTCTCCTGCAAAAAAAAAGAAAGGGACAAAAATACCATCTATAGAGATCGCAATCATGAAGTCTTACAATTTTCTGCTCATCAGATTCTGACTGCCCTCTATGCCTGCCTCTCTGCACTTGTCCTTTCTGCTTCAGAAAATCATTGTATTCTTTATTCCGCTCCCGTCTAGCCTGAAGTTTTGCAGAGTTCCTTTCAGCAATGCTTAGGCTGTTTGTACCATTTACCTCCCGATTTTCAACTTTAGGTTGAACTTTTTGAGGCCCAGAGCGCATTTTTTTCTAGTAAGATAAAATTGAAGGAGAAATGCATTTTTAGTTCACTCACAATCTATACAATCTGTAGAATAGAAGAAACATTAGTGTTGATTATGTATGCATTAATCAGTCACTATCAATAGGATTATGATTCAACTTACCTGAGCTAGAAACTTATTGTACTCTTCTCGGCGCTCTGCATTCAACTTTTCTCGGAGATTTGCATAACTTCCTCGTGGCAATGCCCTTCCTTGATCATTTGTGACTGCATCTCCTTTAAATATAAACATTTTTTTTTATTCAATTTAAAAGGCAACAAGGGCTATACATCAACATAAAAATTACAATAAACAATATACAAGAAAAAAATTACAAGATTATAATATGTACATTTAACATATATTAATTACATTTATTTTTATGCTGATTTTGTTAGGAACTATGACAAAATACAGTAGATCCAAAATTCCAAAACTATATTAGATAGTAGGGTGGTGATTAAAATGCTTCACCTCTCAAAGTTCATGAGTCAAATCTTGTGAGTCCCCCTATAGCTTTGTTTTGAGACTTTTACAATTAAAGAACCACAAGTTCCACAATAGAATTTGTGTATTTGCTGCTGTGACATTGAAATAAAAAAAAAATAAAAAAATAAAAAACATTTCATGCTTTGTTTAGCACTCAAGGTACAGTAATGATTTCAATATAAAACATACCTTGCTTATCGGAGTGAGCTGGTGGCTCTTTCTTTGAGTGATGGGGTGGAATGTTTTCCTTGGAGCTAGAAGCACCCAAACCATCTCTCCTCAAGTCTTGTGACTAAAGACAGCACCAAATGATAAAAAATATTGTAATACTTTTTTCTAGTAAAAAAAAAAATGCCTAATATCTTTAAGGTGAACCTTACTGCACTTCACAAACAGGACAAACAGTACTACATGGGCTATCATAGTCAACCATTTACAGTTTTCATTCTCAGTTGGTTTTACATAAGCACCACAGTGCATTCTTGGAGGTCTGAGCATCAAATGTACAAAAGAGGTAGTTGTTCCAGAGAATTATTGGAGTGGTGTTTCCGATTTCTCACTTCATGTTAAAAACATATTAAATGCCACCAAACAGAAAATTCATATGGTGTGGCATTTACTGTTTCAAGAGCTGAGTTTATTAGAATGACACGCTTCATGTCATTATGGTACACTAAACTTCCAGAAAGTAGCATTTAAACAAGAGCCCACAGAATTCAGTTGCATTTAGCAACGTAGTTTTACAGTAATTTGTTTGTGAATTTAAATTAGTTTCAATCACACTAGTTTAAGTAATGCTTCTGTTTCTTTAATCTTTTTTCTTTAACATGATTGACTGAATTCATACTTTACCTTATCAAGACTTTTGGACTGCAGTTGTTGGCGTTCTTTAGCAATCCTTGCCTTTTGCTCAGCAATAAACACCTCTAGTTCATCCTCTGTCATGGTCACCTTAAAAGTGATTTAAATTGGATTTTAAGTTATTTAAATTTTCATAATACAAGAATAGCTGAAGTAATTGTTAAATGGTAAATATTTTTAATGAATATCAAGCTTATATATTAATGTATTATTAAAATTTGTAAATAATTTTCTTTTACATCAAGAGTCACTGTGCCTCGAAACAGTGTACTAGATAGATGGCGCATTATTAAAAGTGCTGTTTTATTATATTATTAATAACCATTGGCATTAACAGGTAATGATGTTATCAATCAAAGACTAACACGGCTACAACTACTACTGTACTTTTATTATTATTCTTTAGTTTAAAGGTCTTCCAGTGATGGGCTTTTTGTATGTAAGTGTTTCAACGTAAATGTAAAGGATACCCTAATCTATAAAAAAAAAATTGAATTATTTATTCATAATGTATCAATTTGAGTTGCTGACGTAATTTCGAAGTCGTTTCAAATTGTGCGCGCAGTATGCAAACTGCACAAGGATTCTTTCATCATTTGTGATTAAATGTGACATTTATATATATTTATGAACTGATATTGATATTAACTTATTAGATTACAACATTAATACTATACAAATATTTTTACTTACATTGCTACATACCGTATTAATTGTCCGTTGATAAGTTGACAATACAAAAAAACAAGAATAAGTAGGCCCTACTTTAGAAAGTAACTAATGAAATAAACCTCGCAAGACAAAAATATGTAGGCAAATAATAGACTTATTTTATAACACTTTTCAATTTACAAGATAATTCCAGTGAACATGGTTTTTCTTTTTATGAAATAAAAATCATCATTCAACGACATCTTCTTCTCATTTTCGTTTCTATGCATGTACATAGGCCTACACATACCAAGTTTAATAAATATAATTTTTTTCCAACAAGAGTCTACTCTAGGCCTGATACAAATATTATTAGGCCTAGGCTTACTTGCATTTATTAAATACCGTGGGTTTGACCGTTGATAAAGTTGACATTTACAAGAATAAATAAAGTAGGCCATGTATCTCAGTTGTGTGATGATATCAAATCGTTAACACAAGCAATCGTATTATTAAACGAAAAATTACTTCATTTAGCCACCCAGGTCCTCTAACCTAGGCCTATGTTTTGATGAAAACCATTCACTATACCCAATCAAATGAGCTACACACATCGGCGGGCAAACAACACATAGCAACTGTAAACAGAGAGGCCTACCATTAGCAGACCAAGCCTAGGCTAGAGATTCTGTATCTAAACCACAACTTAAATTCAGAGGATTCATACAGCTGATGAGATATCAACTTACAGTATTTATTGAAGCAATATTCTAAAGTACTCATTAGCCAAAGAAACCATTATTTCCCTATTCATCCTTTGAATATTCTTGCAGAGTCAATTAGTATCCGCTCTTAGTAAATAAATAATCAAGAATGTTACATAGCGCCACCTATCGATACAATTTCAATTACATGCCAGTAGACTGTACAGTATGCTGTATACAAATAATAATTATTTAACAATAGGTCTATTATTTACTTTGCTATTAATGTACAGTACTTCTCTTATAATTATGAAGTTTGTGGTTGGGTTATAACGTAATTTGCTAAAAGGCTTAAAATCAACTGCAGCCTTAATATCAGGGGTGGCGCCATGGTTTGCCCGACGTGTCCTATCCTCGACCGGGGTGGGGGCTGTCTCTTATAAAACCTTCAACAAATTTCTTCAACCTAATCTTATATACGGTAAGCGTTTGACATTAACTGTATATGCCAAATGAAAGCAGTTAAGCTGCAATTAATATGAATCAATTTAAGCAAGAATCCGCCAATGGCCTCATTTTAGAAAAAAAAATACACTGATATATTTAATCGTATTACTTTTAAATAAAAATTTAGGCCCTATATATGGTTATTCAATTTTTTTTTCTCAATTTATATTTATCAGGAAAGCCCTTTGACTGTAATTAAAATTGCTTTTCGGTAAATCTTAAATTTGGCCTATATTTTTTTATGAGGCCTATCTGTATATTGCTTGAAATAATATTAAACTACTTTTTAAAATATATGGTTTTTTGGGGTTTTTTTTCCTAGAAGCAATAACGAGTGCTTAATTTCCTTTTGCTTTTTCTTTTCCCAATAATGGTATATAATTTTTATTCTGGTTATAATGCTTATAATAATATAAACCGACTTCAATTTGCATCAATGAACAATATATTCAATTGACTATAAAGTATTGGTAGGAGTCTTGGATTACTATTTTTTTTTTTTCTCTTTTGTGGGAGTCAAACCCACGTTTATTTCAAGCACATAATATTTCTTCAACTTTCCATTTCAAAATAAAGATCATAAAGAACAGTATATTAATAATAACATTTAAATTAGACACCTATACACATTTAATATTGCAAAATACAAACATTGCAGTTACCAATGTAAACATTGGGTTACTATTTTTTGTCTAATTTATTTTGTTTCAAAAACCCTTAAATTATTTTGAATTTATTGACATGTAGATTCCTTTTTTATCTTTGCACATCTACGCCATACAATCTATAATAATAATAATACCTTAGATCACTCATAAGTTGCCATGTCATTTCCGAAGTACTCTTCTATCGACACCAACACAGGTTTCCTGTCCGAAACGACGTATCCTATTCCAACTGATTCTTCACTTGTAAATGGCCCAAAATTTAATCACCGCCATCACCGCCATCCGTATATGGTTTTTCACACTCCACTCCTTAACTCCAGCTTATTGTATTTCTGTTTAAATTATTTTGCCAAGGCGTAAGGATACTGATAGCATGCAACATGTTGCAAAGCAGACTGAACATCATAACAACAGAGGCATTATTTTTTAGTACAAAATGCTAAATTTTATTAAAAATATTAGGTATTTAGCGTGATGATTCTAGGTTACACATTTTCCTTATTTTTACTAAATTTCCACATCTTCAGATTTATAAGATTGTCAACTTGATTGTCTAAACTTTAAACATATTTCAGCTATTCTTTTTTGAATGGTACCGAACAACAATACCGCGTTTCGAGTTAACCTGACAAACACACTGATCAGATAATGAAATAATTATACCGAAATTTACCGATAAGATAGTATAATACATAATGATGATGACATAATGTCGAAATATTGAATTCCGACACGATGGCGTGCATTTCGATATTTGAAGTATGTATTATACTATCTTAAATAATTATACAGTCTTAAAAATAATTTCCGTGTTTTTACTCTGATTCCTTCAGTTCATTCTTTTTACAGTAAATGTCAAACTTAACTGCGAGGATAAGGTAAGTGGACAGAAAGTACTTTTACACGCAATCACAGAAGGTCTCAATTTGTGAGGGTCATCTGACATTGGCACACGTTACAGTGAGTATAAATTAGTTTTATATGTGATAATGGTAATGGTAATGGCTGTAGACTTGTATAGCGCATGATACTAGGTCTTCATGCGCGTTAAACAAATGTCCAATAGAAGTTGAATAAGTGAAGAAGAGACAAATGAGACAGGAACACACACACACACACACATACACACACACAAGACCTCAATTATTATTAACCATATGCTTATAATATCCTCATTTATAAGCTTGGACAAAAAAAAATTATAATTCATTTTATTCTTCTTTCTAATTCTATACATAATAAATAATGTCAACATTTTGGAAATGAATATCGATCATTTCCTTGCCAAATGGGCTATATATAAATTAATTATATTATACCAAAAAAATGTTGCTCGGGCATTGAATAAATAATAATACATAAAACAACCTACTTTAACTTTTACTTCAATCGCATATAACTTTACAACAAGCCTATATGTAGTTGAGATGTAGTGAGTTTTTCTGTTGGATAGCATCTTGTTTTGTACTTTTTAACTTATACTTATTTTGCTTGTACTGTAGTACGGTATCTCTTTTCTCTTTTTATCATGTATTCTGGAGTACGGTAACACGTCGAGCCCCTTTTTAAATATGATTATGATAAGTATACAATGACATTATTGTGTACAATATCTATACGTTCTTAAACGATAGGCCTATTATTTAAAATACTATTCAGAAAAATGTATTAAAGGCCTAAAAACGATGTAAATTGTATCTATTGTGGCAGGTTATCAGAGCCAGCCGAGTCGTATATTTCATTCTCAACCTCTCTGCTCAATTTGTTATCATTGTCCAATTCAACAGCATTTTCTGGGTTTTCCAAAACAAAATAAACACCACCAACTGTAGTCGATTCGTCTGATTGATCATTAACTGGATCGGTGAGTGAGGAATAATAATGATCTGTTTCAAAATTGTCTGCTTTACTTGGACCAGCTTGCTTTTGTGACCCAATTTTAGATTTACTTGCAAGTGTATCCGTGCACGGAAGGGAATATATTTCCTCATCTTTCGACGAAAGTTCACATGTGTCATAAATTGGTTTGTGGTAGAAATTGTCATCTGTTACTGACGAAGAACCATGATATGGTAAAGAAAAAGTCTTGTTTTCAGAAAATCCCAAGTTGGCCTGCGCGTAAAGCGCCCCCTCGTGTTCAGTAAGATAATGTGGTTTACAACTTTGCGGGCGATTAGTCTTAATATCCTTTTTACCTTGATGTCGATCCGCTAAGTCCTTTCTTCCAATGATTCTGAAAACTGTCTTTGCTCTAGAAATATTCCTACTAATAAATTTGTCTTTTACAGCTGTGTCGTCTTCTTCCGGGTCTGATTGGCGTATTTCGTAATAATTACCACCTTCGTCCACAGTGTCATAGTTTGGTTGAGTGTTCATTTCTAAACTGGTGGATGCAACCGTTGTTGGAGTTGCCCGGATAATGTCTGGTGTTTCTAACTGCATATAAACTGGTGGTACGACGTCTTTTTGGGTCACTCTTTTACTAACATTGTCAGGAAATGCTTCGTTTGCATTTGTTATTTCTACTGACGGGCTATTATTATTATTCTTGCCGGCATTTCTCCTACATTAGGAAAATAATAATAAATTAAATTTACATACACGATTATACAATTAGGTTATTAGTACAATATTTACAAAGTATTTATCAACAACTTTAAACTGTTATGATACACTTCTGTTAAGATAACGTAGGTAGGTGATACTTATAAACATTTATTAATGATATTTAAGAATTATTATTACAATTTTTATTATAATTGTAATAATTATAATTGTAAGCACTGTAACAATTATTGATATTATTATTATATTTATTGTTATTATAATTATTATTATTATCACCATCATTTTGTATTATTTATAGTATTAGTGTCAATCAGTGTTATCAAATATTTACTAAGAAAACCATTACCTTCTGCAAACCACAATAATGGCCGCTATTGCAAACATAAGGAACACGATTACTACAGATATAAAAATACCTGTGAAAATATAACCAGAATTTATGTTAAACCGAGGTTAAAACTGTGTAAACATTTTCATGATTATTGACGTACAGTAGGTATGAATGAAATGGATATACAATGTTTTGAAAATTCTTAGACATAATTTTAATAATATGATTTTTAAAATGAGCCTCTAATAATTTTGCATATAATGCAAATACTATAAATTAAATAAATATATTCTTCAGTATTAAGATGAACAAATAGCTCATAAAGAGTTTACCATTCCAGTTAATATCTTCATTCGTTTCTCGAATCACACTCGAATCAGTAGGCTTAGCTCTTTCTAAAAGAAGAATATTTCATGTGAAATTATTTGTGGTTTTCTTATGAGTAACTAATAACCGTTTTAACAGTTTGTGCTACGTGAATGTTTTGGGATGCTTTTTTAAATTATTATTTATCAATAAAGCTTGTCAGAATTCTGTCCGATATTTGACTCAAAAGACATGAACAATACAATTCAATATTCATATTTAAGTAGCTTATTGGTTTTCAAATGAAAATTAAGACAATACAAAGATTGTTTCCATCAATTTAACAGACGATTAAATTAATACAATTCAAAAGTCTTTACACTACGGAGATAAATGAATTGGCACATACAGATAATTGATGTATGTTTATGAGAACATCATTGAAAACAGAATTATTGTGTATTCCATTGGAGTGGATAACTTAGTACAAATTCAATGTGTTTGAGAGTGTTCAGAATAACCATAAGCCTACAATGCTGCTTTAAATTACAATGCAAAATTGAGTAATCTATTAGCATGAGTAATTGTATTCCCGGAATAGTTTCAAAAAAGTATAGCTAAATAAGCCTAGACCTACTTAAGTTCTATAATGCATACATGTACAGGATCCATAATGTCATATCATTTTATTGATTATTAAATGATGCGTTTGAATTGGAGCTTTGGCTTTGTTGTTATGGTGCTCCCCATCCAAACCCGTTGTTGCTTAAACTGGGTTTTATTCCTGAACATTTCATGATTGTTTCATAATTTCACTTTATAATTAACATACTGACAGTTAGTTTAGAGGGTATAACATAGTAAGAAGGTGCTTACATTTTGCTAATAATCAAAGAACGATTTTAATAAACTGTAGCAACAAACACAACATTGTGTATGGAATTTGGAATTATTTTTAGATTTGAAAAAACACCGTACAATTTTGAAAGAATTTCCGTAAAACACGGTATACCCACATATACTGGCCTATGTAGAGTACTTCACTGAAGATGTATAGTAAGTTATTATTGGTATTACAATAAAAGTTTGTTCCTCTTCATTTCTGTATTTAACATAGACCCATTTACTTTTTCCATAAAGAAAGAGAGGAGTACAATATTTAAATAAATATATGACTGCATCATTTACAGTACCAAAGGCAAATATCGTTGATTGCATGCACACAATGTTTAAGGAAGCTATAAATGGAAGCGTAAATCTTTAAATAATTCACGACGATCTATCGTTACATACCTGTCGTCACCAATGCCGAGTTGGTTGAACGTGTGACAACAGAAGCATCTGAAGGCAGAGTGATTTCTGAAAAACAACATGAACATGGCCTAATTGTTCTATTGATTATTGTTTTGTGTTTATTACAGTCATACTTATGGTTTGGTGTTTTCATCGTTTTGGTTTAGTGTTAGCGATTTTAAATTAAAGTGGACTTATCTAGACATATAACCTAAACTAATGCTAGTACCAGTGGCGTATCTAGCGGAAGGCGTGGGGGGTGCATTCCCCCCCCCCCATTCAAGACTTCTAGATACGCCACTGCCTGCTACTATCGTTTAAACAATTTGAAGTACACTGTACCTCGTGCATATTCGCAAATATACCCATCAAAGAGCGATACTGTGCCAGGATCACAGGGTGAACCAAACCAAATTGATTGGAAGGCAAATATAGTTGTGCATTTGAAATTCGAAGTATTCTCTCCTTGGCGATCATACGTCAAAGGTGCCCCAGAGAGCCACTTTGCGCTCCCACCATCAGACGGATACCTGAGGCCTATTAGGAGTCGCTTGTACATTAAGTTTTTCTTCGTAAGACCGTCAACAATGGCAGTGTGTTCATCCTCTGTTTCCAGGCTAACAAGCTGGCCGCCTTTTGCTGTGCAGTGGTCGACAGCATACGTCCAGTTATATGTCGTGGGATCTTCGACGAATTCGTAGCAAGAGTTATTATAGACGAATTGTTCGGGTGGACATAATTCTGATATAGAAAATGGTGTTTTATTTTAGTAAATGCAATAGTAAATGATGCTCGCATTTGACTTTACACAGTTAAAATGAACATATTTATAGGCCTATTTAGATATCCACCTAACTACTGACTACAACGGCGTCATAAAGATATTTAAAGTCCTACCCAGACTATCAAATGTTATGTAACAAAAGCATGTGACGTGCCTAAATACGTGACTAAAACATGTGACTGCATAAATATGTGACAAAAACATGTGACGTGCCTAAATATGCTTTAGCCTAAAGTTGTTGGAACTTTTTCTGGCGGAAAGTAATGCTTACCTACTAAATCGCTCGTTTTCAGTGTTTTCGGCACCGTCGTCGATACCTCTACGATAAAAAAAAAAACCCAAAAATAGTGTTATGTGGATCTAGCTGTTTTACATCTTCTGTACATTCACCTTGAGTCAAGAACGTGTAGAGCTTTAAAGGATTGTTTCATAGTGGGATGAAATACTTGTCGTTGAAAGTATATATTATTATTTGGAAGGCAAGGATATATTAGTTAGTGTAATTTTTACTGTCTAATAATGTATGCAATGTAGTTTTGTCCATAGGGCAATACCAGGTTTGTGCAAGCAATGTGTTCCTTTTTAATCCTATAGGCCTATTGTTTTAAGTAAGAAAACTGTGTTTATATTGACAATACATGATTTTGGAAATAGAGGAATCAATTATTAGCAGTCAGTTGGGGCACAAGCCCAATGCTCCTATGTTTCCACAACTAATTTCAAATTAAACACAAATCAAATTAATAATTTTAGTACATAAGTTAGAAACTTAACAAATGCCTATTATTATCAGTCTAAGAAAATAATTATATTTACCATAAGGATACTCGCATATATATCCAATATGATGGTATCGAATTGAGCAAAGTACTCGAAGCCAATTATTGTTCTCAATATCCAAAACGGTTCCTTCACATGTATCTCCTTGAGGTGCTGAAACATTGCTCCATTGTGTGAACGACACATACCCACCAGACAACCACATCGGACTAATCCCTTCATTATATAAACCTATGTAAAATCGCATGTTCTCCGAGTTAAAGTATACTGTAGCGTAGTCAATCAC